GCAAAATTGGCTCTGCGCGTAACTGCGGCACAGTTGATAAAAAAGAGACGACATGGGCATTCAATTCTTAGTGTTTTGGAATTTTCGATCATTTATTCGATCTCATGAACATGAATTTGACAACATTTACAAAGAACTGATTTTACAACAAAATGATGAATTCAATATGCTACTAACTAGTGTTCAAATTTTCAACAATTTTCATGGATTTTACGTAAATATTCAAAAGAATTGATAGGTTAATTAGTTAGTAGCATATTGAATTCATCATTTTGTTGTAAAATCAGTTCTTTGTAAATGTTGCCAAATTCATGTTCATGAGACTGTAAAATCTGTCAATGGATATTGGTAAGCTGAAGATGATCGAATAAATGATTGAAAATTCCAAAACACTAAGAATTGAATGGTTTAAAAAAGCAAAACCAAACACAAAGCTACTTGAATCATTACGATTTCAATCGTTTTGAATATGAAATTAACGGTTGGATAAAGCATTAGTCGGGAATACTAGACTAATTGAGTGTGGTGGACTACATTTTACTACTCTAGAACCATTTTTAGAACGAATAGGAAAAAATTTTTGCTAGAACCAGATTTTGCTTGAACCTTAAATGGTTCAGTATGACACCTTTTTTTGTGAGCAGCTAATCAAAATTGAGGCTTTGTAAGGATTAAAAATTTATCTGTAGAATATATTGGACATAGTTGTTGAGAAATGTTTTGAATGTAGATAAAATAAAGACCCATAATGACACCCCAGTAAACCACGCATTGCATTTACCCAGAAATCTAGATAAAATGAATCAAGTGACTAATTTGATCGACACCTTTGAGTATTTATTAGCAAACTAACTAGACATATACCTGTACTAAAGTTGAGTTTGTTGTAAATAAATGAAAGCTATCGGTTTTTATTATTAGATTCTCATTGAATTTAATAGATCTCTATGCTTTTATTAGCAAAATTGTAGAGAACCATATGAATGCAAATAAATCTTGATAAGAAGGAAGCGAGAGCATACTGTTCGTTATTTTTCGTAACCAATATTACTGAACTACATGAAAGTCTGATTGACTCTACTGTCTTCCGTGGTCAATCGAAAAATGTAAAATCACTCGAGTATGAACAATTCTAGAACATGGTCCCTGATAGTACCATCATACATGATGGCCAACTACAGCACTATACAAATTTGCAAATGCATCTTCTCTATCACCCACAGACATATTTAATGTTCAATGAATACAACTTTGCTATGCCATGCAAAATGTTGTTTTCGATGAATTATATCCAATTTTGACATTTATTGCCGTTAGCAAAAATAGGACAAGAGCAAAATTGTTAGCGAAATCGTCTATTTAGCCCATGTTGGTATTGCACGACCCAAGTAGGCATCAGGATCAACTCCGTCGCCTTTGAGTCCATTTCGGCCCCTTTTAAAGCTTGCTACTTGATTCTTTGCCCCTGATGATGCTTGAGCATCTCCAATAGCAATGGCGTGGATATGCTTATTATTTTGAAAACTATCTGCTACACGACCTCTTGACCAAGCAGCAAAACCAGCTTTTCGTAATGCAACTACCATTGTATCGACCGTTTTCTTGTCATTATTGACAACGGACGTTCGAATATCAACGGCCCCACCGCCATCATGTGTACCAGCACTAGCAGCCACACTGGAAGAATATGAACCTTGACTAAAGGAAAACTGGAAACCCGTTTTTCCCATTTGTGCCATGTAAACTTCAGCGCGTTGAATCATCTCAATCGTGCGTTGGTTGAGAGTAATACCACGCCAAGTCTTACGTGTATAATCAGCAGCGGGTGCTTTTCCATCGAATCCATTAGAACTTGTCGTAGCACAATTTATATACTCAGCTGATCCCCATCGACTAGTGCCCACACGGCAAAAACCATTTAGCTTTTCCAAACATGAAACTGTTGTACCTTGCAATAAACTACCGACAATCGATGCAGTAGCTGATGCTGTACTACGTATATTCAAACTTGGATTCGCTTTGACGATACAACTGTATGTAGGTGAGAATAGAAAAATGCTCACTAATAGTGTGACCAATAATAGACGCATTGCTGTTGTGATTCCAGTCTTTTTTTGCTTTTCAATTACGAAAAAGATTTCGTTGTGAAAGCCTTTGATCTCCTTAATGCATGGTTTCGAGAGAAAATTTGTTGCTTTTTATTATTTCATTTTAAACTGAAGGATTCGATTTATTTCCTATTTTTCTTGCACATGTCTTGATATTAAAAAAAAACAAGTAGTAAACGCAACTATGTGTAGAATACCAGTGTGAAGAAAAGAAGTTAAATTTTTAGTAAATATTTTAATTTTTCTTGAGTACAGTAACGTTCACGTACAAAAGAAGAAAAATATAGTTGCCAGAGAAAGTGTAAAAGAAAAGGTTTACTCTCCATCTAATACGATCGAGTTTTGCTGGCCAATGTCTATATACAGTACATGAAGAAATAAAATCTTGCTGAAAATCAACTATTAGCAATATTTCTTTTTATTGATTTTCATCTGTAATTGTAGTTAGATTGAGTTAAAACAGCATATACACGCGCTCGTCCACATGTTCGCGTACACCCTCTGCGGGAAAGACTTATCATTAGCTGATCTTCTTAAGTATTTTCATTTTTTGTTTCAAAAGTTTCAAAAGCATTGATATAGAGAAGTTGTTTGTGTCTTAATAAAAACAAACAGTTTCCAACCAGTAAATTTCAAAAACTTGAACTATAATCCGTTAGAATTGAAAAGCATGCGTTTATTTATTTATGTAGTTTTATATCGTTTTCGAAATCTTGTTCGATCGAGAAATGTGAAATAAAAATCAGTGTAAACACATCATAATCTTTTCTAGGATTTAGAATGAATATTTTTTTAAGACCTTTGTAGCGAAAAAAAAGATATTAATGTTTCTTTTATTTGATATTATCCATGACCATATTGCTATTTATTCATTAAAACAAGAAGAAAACTAACTCAGATCGAAAAATATGACGTCGTATATTTCGACTTTGAAGAAATTCGAAATTTAACTATTTTAGAATTTCTATACAAAGCAAGCATCACTTCTTATGCTGACGTATTTAGTTTACCTCATTTAATTTTAATCCTTTCGCATCTATATTAGCCATAGTTGTGCAATTATACCATTTAACATATTTTAGACTGCTTATGTATCGAAGCTTTGTTCGATTCACATCAAATACTTTTTTTTTATAACTTTCTTTTAAAAGATGGACCGTTCGGATATTCCACTGATTTTAAATCATCTCAATCTAAGTGAAGATTGTGTTGCTAATATCTATCATCATGGCTCATGGGTTTATGGTACGAATAAACCTGACTCTGATCACGATATATTCATTATTACTCGCTCATGTTTTCAAAATTCATTACAATTCTGGAATGATTTCGATTATTTTCATGAACATGAAGTTCATAAACTGTTGAATAAATATGATGTTTGTATTTATTCAGTGGAAAATTTTGAAATACTTTTAGGAAATAGTTATTTTATGGCTGTGCAATGTGTATTTTTACCAGATGAATATAAAATCAAAGAAGACATCGATTTTCGATCAATTTACTTGGAAAAATATTACGACAGAGTAGGATTAAAACGAGCTGCATTCTATGAAATGTACAGAGATATAAAGCTATATAATCCAAATACCGATTTAAATGATCCATTACACGATGCAATATTAAGTCAACAGCGTCAATCGCGCAGAAATTTCGTATTAAAAAATTTATTTCATGGTATTCGATACTTAGATTTTGCTGAACAATTAATTCAAACAAAATCGATACATGATTACAAACGTGTATCATATATGTTCGCACAGATGAGAGAAATACTTGGTGATCCAGGGGATCAACTAAGCATGAAACGGTAACGGAGGAAAATCATGACTGTTTAATAATCGTCTTTGTCTTGCCAGTGTTTATGAGTTTGCTTGTAGGAAAAGTGATGAATTCAAATCGAGACTAGATACAATTATGCCAACAAATAATATTAAAGGTACTTTCGAATCATATATTACATTTGATTGTGCCCATAATACTGAACAAATTATTGAAAAACTTAAACAAACATGCGAAAATACAAATTATACTCTCTTATTGAGTCAATCAGATACGAATCAAGAAAAGGATAAAGTTCAGCAATTGATGGCGTCATCGTTTCATTGTGGTGAATATCCATCCATTATTCTACAAATCGAAGACGAAGTACACAAATATTTCCAAGATTTTGATATCATACGCATTAAAATAAGATCTTCAACATCAAGCGAAGGCTTACCTGAAACTGATATGGATAAGAAATTATTTTGGAATAAAATGAAAAATTATTTTGAATTTAATTATTATGTATCATTAGAAAAAGATCTTAAAGGCGAACGCTTGAAAAAATTTATAAATCAATGTGGATCTAATCATAAACTCAATTTGCAATTATCACGCAATCTAATCAAACAAATCAACGAAGCGAATTTGCACTATACGATTATAGTGCAATTATTTAATGCTGGCCGAAGGCACGCATTGGAAATAAATGATGCAATTGTAGAATATTCTACAAAAAATAATTTTCAATCGCAAGAAATTACACTTGGATTTGTTATATACGACTCATTTTCTAAAATCAATTAAAATTGATGATAATTCAAGTATAAATTCTATTTTCATGAAACATCTTGAGAATATCTTTCTTCTTTTAAATAAAAAAAATACTCTTAATTACTGATTCGATGAACTTAACGAGTATAAGTCTTAGCATTCAATTTCCACGGAAGAATCTACTGCTATCAGTTCTAGCGGCTATAATGATAAAATAGATAACATCGTCGCAAAACGACTATTATGTATGATTTTAACATAATTGATCTTTTCAATGCACATAATCTTTCGGCACATAATAATACATAGCGTTTATTTAAATAATATTAGATCAATATTTGCATTTTTGTTTTAGTTCTTGTATGGTAAATAACCAATAAAAACAATCATTAGACTATGACGAATCCATCTGACTTTTTGGTCATTACATTCTGTTGATACCAAAAGTTAAATCACTATTAATTCATTTGATAGTCAAAACTCAGACTAGAAATTTGCAATAGCCCTTGTCAAATAGATATATTTTGTTGTTGCCATTGTTATGGAAACGATACAACTTCTGTGTTAAACAGGATCTTTGTAAACAGGATAATGACATACAGTGAATATCGATCCTATGTGAAGACCAGATTTATACCATCAACCTCAATCTACGTTTTTATTAAATCATAACTCAAAAAAGATGTCATATTCATTTTCATGAAGCGAATCGTTTATCTCAGCGGATGAATTTCGTTGGTTTTCAAATGGTACAGAAATTTTGTGCTAACTCTCACTTATCAGTCCAAATTTCTTGAACTATCTAAACTATTGACTAAAAACGGATGCGTACGAAACCATTAACATATAGGAAAATGTTAGATTATAGTTTGTCACATAGATTTTGTTTGACGACATGATATCCTAGCATCCTGATATAAAACAAAGCGATCAAGGGATTCATCATGCAGCCGTAATAATGTCAGTATTATAACATCATTAGAATTCTATTGGCGACATGGGAGACGATAGTAACATGATGGCAAAAATTTAGCATAGCTAAGTGACACAACAACTTATGAATCATTCAAAATTGTAAAGATAAATAGTCTGTGGTAGTGAGAAAATCTATCAGGAAATTTTAAATGTCTTCTTTTAGTAACTTTTTATTTTACAAACACTCTCAATTAATTTTAGCTTAGAACTGATTTTTTTCCACATGAATAGTGAAAAGAAGTTTTTTCTCGTTGGTGACAAATGATAAGGTCTGTGTCCTGAAATTTTTTATTCTATACAGGCCATAAAGTCATTATAGAAATAAATGAATGATATTAAAAATAAAGAGATATAAACACTTGACATTTTCTCTAAACATAATTATGTTCATAATGCGATACCTGACACTCATGTTAAGTTTTGCTCGAGTTGATTCATCGTCTACAATATAAAACTGAGGGCCAATAAAATGATCGGCTCGTCAACTGTTTGATTCAGACAGAGAGTAATAAGTAGAATAAAAAGCTATCTTTTCGCGAATAATATTAGTGTCTTCTAGAAAGTCTTCTATACTAAAACAAATAGTATCAATGAGTAGTAACAATAGTGTAGCATCGGCGCGAACAATCGCTGATAATCGTGCTCAGTACAAAATAACAAGAACTGTTACAGACCCAAATGGAAAAACACATACTGAAACCATCGAAGTTCTTAACGATGATGCAGTCAAAGTAAGTCTGTTTGATATTATAAACGTGCTCTTCTTCCAATATCCCATGATAGCTTATGCGAGATTTGCAATTACACGATAATAATCAGACTAATGTGAGTCGATTTGGCTGTTTTCCATTGACAAGTTCAACGAAAGTATCACAGCCATCCACAGCTACTAAACGTTCGATGGTAACTCAAGATAACAAGGAATTTATTCGAGAAGCATTACAAGTACATAATGAATTAAGACAAAAGCACAATGTTGAACCTTTACGATTAAACAATGATTTATCAAATTTGGCACAAGAATGGGGTAAATAATGAATAAAAATCTGAGTAAAATCAATACTCTATGACATGTTTCATTTTAGCTAATTATTTAGCTTCTACAGGATCACTTAAACATAGTAAAACAAAATATCATAATACACATGTTGGTGAAAATCTTCGTAGTCAATCATGGCCAATAACAGGTTCACACTGATTAGCTATTTGATCGTTTCATTAATTTTTTAAAACAAAATTCATATTTAGGTAAAGAAATGACTGAAGCATGGTATGGTGAATGCAATAAATATGATTATCGTAATCGTCAATCTTATCAACCAGGAACTGGTCATTTTACTCAAATAATATGGAAAGATTCTCGAGAAGTTGGATTTGCACGTGCACACGGTGAATCAATGAATTTTGCTGTAGTTATGTATTATCCAGCAGGCAATTTTCTGGGTGAATTCGATAAAAATGTCTTTCCGTTACGTTAATATTTTCACACAAAACAAATAATGTATATATTTTTATTGCAATCATTAGAAATAATGATATAATTGCAGTATCTATTGGTCTTTTTAAAATTTTTCTTTCTATAACAATCATTTAATTAAAAAATAAATAACAAGAAAAATGAATAAGGCAAAAAGTAATAGATATAGATATATTTTCCAACTACCTGATCGAGCCAATAAAAGAACACGTCGTCGTGCTTGACCAACCAAACTATCCGTATGATCCATATTATCGTGTAATTCCTACAAATAAAAATAAAAATGAATATGATTGTCCTAATACTGATACAAGACAAAGATATTAAACAATAGCTGCAATCTGAATAAGCAATTAATAGCTTCGTGTATTTTGTTAATTTTCCTCCGAACTATATAATTCACATGATTGCCAGTAATTGATTACAGTAAGACAAGGAAGTTTATCAATCTTAACCTTTAAATATTTATTTTGGAATTTTGTTTCTTCACCGATTTGCACAGCCAAATGTTTCAGTTGATTCACTTTTGAATTAAGTAATTCTGTTCGTGCTTCATTTTGCTCCTCAATATACGAATAATTCGTACGTCTTGCAGGTGTATTTGATTGTCTTCCATCAACCATTCTTTTTCTTTAAAAACCAAACATCTTAAATGAGATAAAAACATATAAGATTATCACATGTTTTTTCTTTCTCTATGTATCATTTTCAAATTATTTTATTCAGTTTAAAAAAATGAGAATATTAGTCACTCGTAAATGTCTAATAAATGAGATCAAACAAAAATATTACTACAAAAAGCAAGCCACACAAATATCATCACAAAAAGAAAAAAAACAATGGTTTGTTAAACCAGGAATGTCATAATATTACTGTTCAGAAAAATAACGAGATAAAAGGGTTATGGGACGGACGGTCAAACTTTGTAAAGATAAAAACCGAGAACTTATTTCCCACTATTACTACTGCTACTACCAAAAAATCTACGCTCTTTCAATTTCGTAAGACTCGATGAACGTAATCGATGTCCAATATTTACTACTGATCGATGAAATGGTGATGATGATTGACTAAGAAGCCGTTCACGTAATCGATTGACTTCAGCATGTCTAAGTTCTTTTATTTTCGCTTTTAATTGATCACGATCTTTACTTGATTTTATACCCAGAGCCTAAAAAAGAATAGAAAAACATCGATAGAAACAAGAAAATAGAAACTTTCTCACCTTCATTTTTGCACTATCAAGCAATAATAACTTTTCACCATCAATATTACGATTCAAAAATATAGGAATCAACGATGACATTGTTTGAACTGTTAACCATTGAATACATTGATCTGATGTCCAATGTTTTATTTTAATGTACTTCAAAAACAAAAAAGGTTATTAGAAATCTAGCGTTAATAAATATCACTTTACTTCATCAGTTGAAAAACTATCATTATCTAGAAAGGCAAACAAATAAAAGCAAGAGCAATTACTTGAAAATATGACAATAATTTTTTACTTGTTTGTTCTAATGATGGTACTTTTGAAATCTGGCTTCTAGTACTACAATATATAAATTATCTATAATTTATATAACTAGTTACGATGATGATTTACTCAATAATGTCACAATCATTCACAACTTCACCAAGTGATGGAGTAGAGAAATGTTTCGATGGTAAATGTCTTGGGTATGTTTTGCTCACGTGAATTCTATTTAATAATGAATCTTTATCATCTTCTATATCAAGCTGATCATCTGATTTATTATTACTAGAAGCTAAAAGTTAGACAACAAAATTGATATGTACATTTTAATTAAACAAAAACATCAGATTTTCTTATGAATCTTTTGTACCATTTTCGCTAGGCTCTTCAGTTTGTTGTTCATAGGTTGGCATTTTATCTAATGATCTAGATGGAAATTGAACAGAAGATGTTACGATTGTATGCCGACTTGTAGTTGGTAATAGTTGACTAGAACTTGCATTGGTTCGACTTAATATATGTTCTGGTGGTATATCAGACGAATCTGACACAATACTTTCATTCGCTTTGGGTAGTGCATTCTCATCAGACTTTGATACTAATGTAGCAATGATATTTTCAAGTTCATCAATCTAAGGAAAAAAGTGTATTATTCGTTTCATTTCATACATGAATATCCTATCTCCAACGTTTATTAATTAACAATGTTCCTTCTCAAACATAGACACTCAGAAGAAAGATATTTTTTCTGATGCAAACCTTTAAATATAATAGAACTGCATCGAATAAGCAGCTTCTGTATGTTAAACTTTCTTCGAGATATATTTGTGCAATAAAATATGAAACGTTTGATTTTTTATATTGATGATTGTTGACTAAAATTATCTCAAAATATTGTTATTTTCTACAATAGCAAGGATAGTTGTAGAAAAAAACAACAAATCTTACATGAAAATCACATAAGTAATCACTTATAACCTTTTAGTCTTGAAATTTTGTAAAGAAATCTCGCTACGTCATAAGTCATGTATGATTTTGGAACTTATTTCATTAGATAGACTCTACACAAACTAAAAATAAGTCAAAAATGATTTCTATTCATAGATCTCACTGCTTAAATTGTGAATATTGAAATCAAAATTTTCAAGTAAATACTATATTGATTTAAAAATAATGCTGTCACAGTCCAATTTTGAGCTCAATCACTATGAAAGTAAAGTTTCCAATGGAGATGAATTCATGTTTAGCTTGCCGAGATTTCTTGCATCGTCTACTATCCTCAAAATTTGTAATATTATTGAATGATGATAGAAAATTCGATATTTTGACGAACTGATAAATCTCTTCGGGAACTTTATTTATCGAAATTTTACATCCAATGGTTAATTTTGAAATAAGATCACAATATTTTGTTGAAAAATTTAATGAAACAATCGTAATCGGGGATCAAATGACCAAGATCTATAGCTCTAACACTAAATCGTAGCATCTAAATTTAAGAAGTAAAAAAAGACATGGCTATTCTCATTTACACTTTAGGTCTTCATCTTTCTTTAAAAATTCTCTAAACAGAATATAAAACTATTCTACTATATTTATTCTTTATCACAAACCTTCTTCATTAGTTCGTTAATACGTTTTTCTTGTTGTTCATTCAATTCTTTATGCTGTTGACGTAATTTTATTTCCCTAAACAGAAGAAGTACAAATTCAGTGCAAGAAAGATTGATTAGGAAAAAAACAGCTTGTTTCTCCACATGTGCACAGTGAACAGAAAGCAATAATTTTAGTTTTTACCAACACCTGAATACGTACATATAATCAATTTATTTGTTTCTTTTAATTAAGAATGACCACAAGCATTTAGTTAAAAACAAAATATTTTATCCTTTTTTTTCACTTACCGATCTTGAAATTCTTTGATTAAAACTTTTGCTTTAAAATATTTTTCTTTCATTTGTTTAAGATCATTTTCTATTTGTTCATGAAGTTGCTAAATAAATGTAAGTGATAAGATTTTGTAATTAATAAAAAAATTCATTTACTTGACAACGTTCTTTTTCTTTTTCAGTTTTTTCTAATGTATCTTCTAATGATTCGTAACATTGCTTTAGTATTTCAATTTCGAATTCATTGACAATTTTCGAATCAGTTTGCTGAAAAAGAAACGTTACAAATAAATCGAAAGAAACGAGCCTATTATTCATGCGTACCTCCTGATCCTTTATTTCATCATGATCCATAAGAGTTTTTTCATAATATTCATCCCGATATTGTTTCAATGCTCGCGACATTTCGTCACGTTCTTGATCTAGTTGTAATGAACGCTGAATAAGGCCAGGAATTTCAGAGTTGCCAACATCTTTTTCTCGACCAATTAAAAATCTGAACATTTGCATATAATATGTAACTGTAGAATGTATAGACTAAGTCTTACTTTACTAAGCCAATTGTTGATTTTAGAACATCTTTAGCATATCCATGTGTGACACCAACAAGCGAACAACCATTTACTTCAATGATTTGATCCCCGACTTTAATTCTAATATAAATGAATGAAATTTTCAATTCGATATTAAGATAGAAGAAAAATCTCACTTTCCATTTTTGGCAACTACTCCTTGAGGATTAAGAGATTTTACAAAAATACCTAATTTTTCCAAACCACTATCAGCACCTACGCCCATTCCCAATACACTAAAAGAGAAAATAATCAACTCTGCTCTGCTGTATCAATTGTAGATAGAGTACCTTATTCCAAGACCTTCTGGACCTGAAGAAAAAATAGCAATGATCATGAGTAAAATAAATAATGGGTAATAAATTTAAAACTACCTTTTTCTATTTCAACTGTAAAAACATCCATTTTTTCAATGCGTTTTTCTAATTCATATTCTGCTGTTGCTGAAAACGGATCTATATCATCGTTTCGTCGATTGTATTCACTTGGCGAATATGTTGGGTAAACCTAGATACGTAGTAACTTTATATTTTCTTCTGACAAAAAAAAACACTCTTTGTTACTCGAATCGGTGCATTACTAAATTTCACTCGTCTAGTACGATTTTGATCAAAATTATCATCATCATCATCATCATCATCAAGTTCAGGTATACCCGGCTGTTCATAGAAAATATCTGATGATTCATTATCGTTTTCTTGTATATGATTTGGTTCTAAATAAATTATAATATGATTCTTGAATTTTTTTAATGAGGAAACAGAAGACTATTGCCTCTCCATGTTCACATGTAAGCAATATATTCAGTAAATCGAAAATAAAATCATATGTCATTGTTGAGCCTCTCAAAAGACTAGTTTATGGTGTATCTATATGTGTATATGTCATGTCTTACGATTAATCGTCGCTGTTATGAATTTCTTTATTTTTTTCTTTCTTCGGCGTACGTGTGATAACATGTTCTATTTATTTAGATAGAAGATACGGACACATTCAAGTATGAGCTACTTAGTCATTTCACAGAGATCAATTTCTTTCGTTTTGTTCAGATGTCATGTTAACAAGTCAAAGGATTTCACTTTTTTTTATAAAAAAATTTATTCACCATTAATTATTGAATCTTCGATCAAGTTCGATTGTTCATGAATATCATCATCTTGAAAAACTAATTTAGGTAATGAATGTTCAATTTTAGTTGGCTTAACAAAAATTGTATTAAGATGATCCATAGGTTTGAGTACACTGGGCGGTAGAGCTATGGAAACAGCATGACTTGTCATTTGCTTACTGGATAAGGTCGATAAAACATTAATTTTATCATGCTCATCATGTTCTTGCTTTTTATGTTGTTGAAAAGAATCAGCAGGAAAATCAAAATGTTGTTCTGAATTTGGATTTTTTCGATGAATAACTGCATACGGAACTTCATCATCATAATTCGCAAATGAAGTCGATGACCTATTTGACGATGTACCACTGAAATTCGATGAAATATTACGACTATGCTCTTGTTGATTATTCTCTATTGGTTTTAATCTTAATAATGATGCATTATTGTGTCTTGATGTTTCATCTAATGTTTGAAACATCTCTTTTGTCTTAATAAAGCGTGCAGTATGATCATCAACTATCAATGATGAATTAGATGAATGTTTTTTTGAATTTAAATCATTTGATAATAATGAATGTTCGATGAATGTATTACGTAATCGAGAAGCGTGACAACTGTATTTTGTATTGGCTTGTGGACTTTCTGTTGAAGTATCAGCAAATAGATTCGATGCAGATTCAGTGTGCGTAAAAAGAGATGGTACTGCAGAATGAATGAGAATGTCTGCCATTTATTATCTTCGCCTTAATTGTTTTGCTTATGTATAATGACTGTCCGCCTGTCGTAATATTGCTGTTCTGTTTCACTAAAAACCGTTGTTTACATCAATCACAAATGGCATAGTTACTGTATTCTTAGTTTCCCAACCAATTCTGATAATAATTATCAGAAATCAAGAAACAAATTGGAATTGAAATAAAAGAGATGATGATCTATAAAGAGAATAAATCTTAATCATCAGTTGTATTTCATCGTTAAGGAGCATTGATTAGTTACTAAATTGTATCGTAAAAGTTCAGAAATACAGATAAATAATTAAAGTCAATTTTAGGAAGTTTCAGTTAACAATATTTTTAAATTTCTACAATGTACCATCAATCATGAGTTTTATTCGTTCATATTATGCTGCGAGTCTTTTGCCAAAAAAATAAATAAAAACAATCATCTATTCGCTAGATGGCAAGGCCAATAAAAAAGTTTCTGACTTTCGATGCCTAACTTCTACGCCCTCTACATACATGAATCGACTTTTTTATGATCTTTTTCATTTTTAACCATCAATTGAAGAACAACAAAACAAAAAGATTTACCTTTTCTTCTTATCTTTACATGATAAATCTATTTATAGCATGCACTATTTGTCATACCTCAACATTCAATAAATCATCTAGCTAAGTATTAATCATGAATATATTAAGTAAAATCGATTTTTTTTTGTCGCCGATTTTTTACTGATAGAAGAAGAAAAACAATTTTGCCCTTTTTTCATAATCATAAAACACTTTTTTTTCCCTATACTTCTGTACATTTTTGTTTACAATGCATTTTTCATAATTCAATTATCTTTTAAAACATCCTCTATTCAATTAAATTTCTAGAACAAAAATATGTCGGTCGATCTGAGTGCGTTGATTTTAAGATAGTAATAGAGAAAATAGCATGTACTTTTAGTCCGTACTTGCAGGATCGAACCCCAAAATGAATAAAAACTATAGAAACAGTTGAAGTTACTCATACTCTCATATCAATTTGTTCTTGTTTTTTTATCGATTTATCGTTTTTCTATCGCCTGATGACGTGCGAAAGCGTTGTTAGCCCTTTTTGTTAGTTCCCGCTGTTATCGTTCTACATTCTATATTTACAATATCAGCCATGGTGACATTTATCTTTTATAAATATTATTGATGGATAGTAGTATTTTCTTTTAAATGAACAATTTTGTCAGTTAAAATATTTTTCTCTTGTTAAAATACAATATCTTGTATTCATCATACTATTTGATGGTAAGAATACTAAAAATCAGAACGTTAAGTACATCGATAATCTTTTCTTTAGTGTCAAGGCTAGCACGCTATCATCAGAGATAAAAAATAGAAACTGAAGGAAGTATCTATTCAAGAACAAATAGGAAAATACAAAACGCTAGTTGTTATGTGAAAGACTTTAGATAAAAATAGTAATCGCCGTATACGAAGAAACAAATAACAACCATAGTAAGTACAATACAATCGTCAAAGAACGACGCAAAACATAAAGAATGGAAGGTGAAGTATTATACAAAAGAACTTAATTGTGATTATTTTGGTTAGAATTGATTTTGATGACGGAGAAATAAAAGAGAAATACATTTCCGTTTTTTTTCTTTTTCTAGCTAGTAAGCATAGTTTGTTTGCTGTCTCTTAGCGCAGAATTTTATATTCTCTTGGGACTATTACTATTTTTAGTTTTATTCTGTCCTTCTCTGCTCAGTTTTATTTTTCTTCTGCGATATATTCGCAACAGAAGAAAAAAAGGTATTTTTGAGTGTTTTCTATTGTTGCATGTTGTTTTTTTTATTTCTCTGTTCTAACAGAAAATGATAGTACCTTCTATATATAGAAGACAGAGGACCCTATTCTAAAACATCAAACATTGTTTACAAGTTTTTAAGCATGTCCACAAACATATTAAAATTTGGGCATATTTAACCTTCAATTGTAGCATGATAAAATAATTCTATTAAGTAGATAGAATGGCCTTATTCATTATTTTATGTACTGAAAAAGCAACACTAATTAATATGCATATTTACGAGGGAAATAGGCCATAAACAAATCGAGTTTTATTTCAAAAATAAAGAGTCTGTCATTGCTATTACTTGTCAAATAAATATAAATATCTTTTTATTTTGCGCTAATGAGTAAAATATGATGACCTTTACTATTATTTTTCCTCTATAAATCGTAAATAGTTTGTTTGCGTCGTGCTCTGAGTTTAGTTTTTTTCTCCTTCCTTTTTTTCTTCTTTTCTAGTTACTCGGTTTTTCTTCTTTTTTTTTTATTCATCTCATATAGAGGAAGAAAATAAGACATGAAGACGAAGAAGAAGAAGAAGAAGAAGAAAAGAAAAAAATATATATATTCGACCAAAGCTGACAGGCAGACACTGCTACATACAAAGAGATAAAGTAAAGCTGAGTGAGAGTAGCATATGTAGAGTAGCATGAAAAGAAGAGTATATCATTTTTCGTTTCTCTCTTCTGCTTGTTTATTATTGGTTCTTTCATTTTTTAGAAAGTTACATTTCGTACATAACAATTCTTTATGGTGGATTTCTGTCGTCCCTCAACTTTGCCGAATGATAATTCATTTGGCTCTGGCAATAGTAATACAAATACTACAAAAGACAGTGGCTCAACTTTTTTTCCAACTGTATTCGTAAGTATTTAGTTAAAAAAGACAAAACATATCATTAAAACTCAGCATCTTCTTTATTGTTCTTATTTATGTCCTTGATAAGTGCATAGGTAGTCATAGAATAGTTTTCTATTGTGAGTTCGGCAAGATTCAAGTTCAATTAATGTTTGATCTATAAAAGTTACTGCAAACATTGTATTTTCAAGGTTATTATGGAAGTTTTATAGGCACAAAACAAATAAATAAAAAACAAATATTAATTTTTTTCATTAATTTTTTTAGCTTCCCTATTCGCATTTGATTGACCCCGATAGACAAGAATCAGTAACAGCAGCATTACTTTCAGCAACGACTGCTGCAACACTTACAGCCTCAGGCATGGAACAATCACGTCTTGAAGAAGAGAAATTACGTGTTCATGCTAAAGACAAAAAAAATCAAAGTAAATCTAATTTATTTTGTTTTTCTTGTGTTTTATCTATAAATATTTTTATAACATTATTACTTTAGGTGCCAATGCATCCGCTGAAGTAAAAACCCATTTGAAAAGCTTCATATGTCGTAAATTACAAAAGGAAGGCAAACTAGGGTAAAATTTTAATATTTGAAAAGCAACTCAAAGAAATCTGTCATTTGAATTTTTTTGTTTATAGAAATCAAGATTCAAATGATATGCTTCGACGATTTCAATCCGAACCAGTACTTGCTAATCCACGTCTGGAATCGCGAAATTTGAAAATTAGATCAGATTTACGGCAACGTATTCTTTCTCAACATAAACAAGTTACTCCCATGTCAGATAGACGTCATCCGATCCGTTCAACAAATCCAGCTCAAAAACAACAACCAACTGGTAAGATTTTTGAAAATGAGAAACTTTTTCTACTCTCACGAATAATTGTTTTATTTAACTTAGAAAATGAATTTACTTTAGTTCCACCAATGTCATTGATACCATTTAATTCTCAATCGACTCAATTGCATCATCCAGAACAGCGTTGGCTTGATTTTCCGCGTTCAGTTTATGGCTGTTATTCAACTGGTAATAGACTGATTGAAATAAAAGAGTTTCTTTTTCGACAAAACAAAAGTGCTCATTTTTTCAGGTAATCTTGGTGAAAATGCCATACAACTTCGTTTAGGAGTAACAGCAACAAATGAAAATAGTCCTCATACCAATATTCTTGGCCCAAAACATTTTATTGTAGAAGAAGAAAATGAAGCATTATTAGCTAAAGAATTACAAGAAGCTAAAATTCAAAGTTCTCATAATAGTCATAGTTCAATGCATAGTAGCCAACCACATTTATTAAATTTTGAATCAAACGACTTTTGCATTCGTAATCCAAACGTAAGAAATTTATGATAATACTTAATTAATTGAATCGAAGTGTTTATTTAATAGTTATCATTGGATCGTTTAGCAATACATTCCAAATCATTATCATCTCTATCAATTGTAGCATCATCAACAGAAAAAAAAGTACAAAAAAGTCTTTCCGGTACAATACGAATGCGTTTCACAACCGGTAGAATATTTCATTTAGCTTTTTAATTCATGTTGTTTTTAAAATATTCTATCTAGGACTTGCTTATGATGATGATACATTGAAACATGAATGCTATTGTAAACGTACGGATCTTCATCTTGAAAACCCTCGTCGTTTACTTGTTATATATGAAAGATTGAAAAAATTACGTTTACTTGATGTTTGTGAAATTATTCGTGGATACTGTGCCACAATTGATATGTTAACTGATTGTCACGAGTAAGAAACAAGAAAACTAACAAAATACCTTATTGAGATTTCATCAATAGAATATTATTTAAACTATGTAGTATAAGAGAGAGTAAATATAAATTCTACGAAGTACTGCGTTTACGATTCTAAACTGGATTAGACTCGTGCGTTACAATCGACGCTTAGTATAATATAGATATGCATTGTCATAGAAACAATAGTGTTTGATAAAATATGTAAAAATATTGTTTTTATCATTATCGTTGGTCAAACAAACTTTGAAAGATAAATTAAAATTTTTTCATAGTAGCATTCCATTCTTTCACAATTGGATAAAAAGATTGCATTTGGAAAGAAGCTCAACATTCATTACAAGTGATTGAAGTATGATAATTTTCAACATTTACTAAAAAACAATTTGGCATCGACATTCACATTTTATGAGCGAATTATAGACAATTTATTTACGGTTTAAAAGAACAGAGTACCCGCTAAATGTCATATATCGAGTTCCTAAATCTATTCTCATTATACTTTCGGGAGACAGTCAGTATCTTGATAGAAAAGACGTCCGAATAGTTGCGCATGATGCCTACATTAGAACTATGTCAATAGACAAGATCAGCTGATGCACAGATAAATGAATTTATTGTTTTAGCCCTGGCCATGTTTACTTATTTGGTTGTGATCAACGACAACGTAGTCAACAATCACCAGCTATATTCACTCAAAGAATTAATTATTTAGTACCATTACCATGTGGTGGTTGTGGCATACATGATGATCCAGATACAATATGGAATGATGAATATACAGCACGTGCATGTCGTTTATCTATTGGTAATACAATTGAATTAGCAAAATATGTTATTGATGGAACATTAAAAAATGGTTTTGCGCTTGTAAGACCGCCAGGTCATCATGCGACACAAAAACCATTAGGCTTTTGTTATTTTAATACAGTAGCTATCACAGCAAAATATTTAAAAAAATATCGAAATATTAATCGTATTGCGATCGTTGATTGGGATATACATCATGGAAATGGTACACAAGATTTAACCTATGATGATCCTAATATTCTTTATATATCATTACATCGTTATGATAATGGAACATATTTTCCTGGTGGTGGACGACTAGAAGAAGTTAGTTAATTTTGTTTTTTGAAAAAAAAATAAATATTCGATTTTCTTTGTTTTTTTTATCTCAGTGTGGATGTGATGATGGTCTCGGTAAAAATGTGAATATTGCTTTTTCAAGTGATCCACAATCGGCCATGACAGATGTTGAATATTTAGCGGCATTTCGGTAAGAAGATAATATTTATTTAAGAAATAAAAATGATCTATTGCGTTTTGCCTGTTTTTAGAAGTGTTGTTATGCCAATATTAGAACAATTTCAACCTCAAATAATACTTGTTTCATGTGGTTTCGATGCATGCATAGGACATCCTCATCCACTTGGTGGTTATGAATTAACGCCGACATGTAAAATTGAAATTACTTTTTTTCTCTAATAGATTTGAAATAATTGAATTTATTTATTTAGGTTTTGCTTATATGACAAGAAAACTAATGAGTCTAGCTGATGGAAAAGTAGTCCTAGTTTTAGAAGGTGGCTATGAATTGAATGCATTAGCTGAATGTGGAGAATTATGTGTTGAAGCATTACTAGATCTGCCAGTAAATGTTTTACATGATTGTTGTTTTGTTTAATTTGCCATTTTTGTTCATTTAGATTCCAAATTTTAGTAAAGAAACTCTTGAAGCTCACCCTAATCCATATGCAGTGAATAGTCTAAAACAAGTTATAGAAATACAGCGTATGTGAATTATTTTAATTCTTTTGCTTTGTTTTCTTGTGAAATTATAAAGGAAATCTTATTTAGGCGGATTTTGGCCTTCGATTGAACAATATCAACATTTAATATCTATACCACATGCAAAGACTATAGATTTGTGATTTCGCATTGACTTATCATTATACTGTATATTAGGCAACAGGTTTACATCATATTACAGTTACAGATTATGAAGATGAATGTGTGAAAGAAAAGCAAAATAATAATCTACTTTTTTATTGAAGTATTTTGACAGTTATCTCATGGTATCTTACCGGTGAATTGTAAGACTTGTTTATCATCTTCGTTGTCGTGTTTTATTGTTTTCTATGTGTGCGTGTATATTCATGTCAATACTCTTTAAATAACTGCTAAGCAGTTCATTTATCATCTTAATTTGCCTGTTAACCATAGCCATAACAAATAACGACTCCGTATACGTAGCCAGATTTTCTTTCTTTCTTCTTTTTTGTCTATTGTTGTTTGTTTTATTTGCGCAAGCTGATACTTTTTTTCTCCTACTGGAAATTTATATATACACTTATATAAATGTTTCTCTAATTTTGTTTTTTTGAGTTTTTGATGTCACTCAACTTGTTTCATACATATGTAATTGTGTTTTTCCCGTGTATACATGCTTTCACAATTGCTATTTAATCTATGAAATATAGATGAGTCAAGAAAGATTATGATAAAATTTTTCCTTCGATGAAATATTCATAATTTATTCAAAGAAAATTTTGACATAGATTGATGGTGTGTCTTAATAATCGAAAACTATTAAATGCAATGTATGTATATGATTAGTCAATGAATATGTAATAACAAACTAAAAATATCCTTGATTTATTTCTGTTTATAGACGATTTTTGATTACAATAATCAATTTAAAAGTAATAAGTCGATGACAGAATACGTTAACGTACTCTTTGACTCGCGCTTATTTTATTCATTATAATTATTATATGAGTAGAAATACTTGTCTAAATCCTGTCAGCAGATTTGAGTTAATAATCGCTGTAAAAGAAAGACGTAGAAAATGGTCTGACAGATTCTATCAAAAGCACATTGAAAACTATCTCGGATATCGCAGAAAATATTTCTGAATAAAATAAACTTCTCCGAAGTTCATCGTGACCTTTCTTCAACGATCTGTACTCGTTCAATGACAAAACATCTAACTGTAGAAAATAGTGAATTCATCGAGAATTTGATAATACGAACAGAAGACAATCTTTCATGCCTACAGTTCAATGATTATTGTTCTATAAAGATAGGTCGTACATAGCTCGAGGGTATCTTATTTTAATCGATATATTCGCTTCATGAGATAATTTTTTTTCGATATATTTTTAATAGAATTCAGATGATTACTTTTCATTCTTATCGATGTTTCCAAGAATATTCACTCAAGTTCAGTGACGAGACTCTAACAAATAGTTCTTCATATAGCTACGAACTTATTTCAACTATTGTCAAATGTTGCCTTCGATTTTTTTTCTAGTTGTTTCTCTTAAAGAAGAACATAAAAAGTCCTGTTCTAAATGATTTGCTTTCACCACTTTATTATATGATGTGGCTGGATTGACGAGAGAATAATGTAACAATATGCAATAACATTAACTGATAGTAGTTTCTATTTGATGAATCAATTGAAATGCACCATAATAAGTCATTTCAGTTCAATTGACTAGGCAGCTCTTCCAAATATAAATATTCTCTAGTATGAATAATACAGAATGAAACAATCTAAAATATAACTTTGGATTTAAGTTGCGTGTACCTGAATTTATGAATTCTGTTAGTTCGAAGTAATGCTTTTTCTGTAGATCTTCTACGGTAATCTTTTGGGAGAAAGGTAATATGTGGTAAAATAACATTTTTACTACATGTAGGTGTATTACCAACAGCAAATATGGTCATTTATAAAATATCTACTAAAAATTAGATTATTTATTTTATTTTTATCTATTACCACAGTTAATATGTCCCCTAATCATTACTCGAAAGTTCAAAGTTGATCTAATAATCTGCATAAAATTCAATTATATGGTTACTGAGAATCAAAAAGACTGCTGTCAGCTGTTCAAATATCAGCCAGTACTTTCGAACGACTGTATATCTTATTCTAAATAACTCTTAACATAATCAATTATTCAAGTTTTCTTCAAGTCAATACACATGCCTATGCAATAATTCTCTTGTATGGTGTGAGTGAGCAAGCAGCTGCGCCTGATTATCACACCGTACCTTCTGAGCACATCGCTTACATCGTGGAACAATATTCGTTGCTTCAAGTCTCGTACGATGCATGGGTGTGGGCACGCCCTCACTAACACTCAAAATAAAGCTCACGCCTCAAGAAGCGCACCTCAGGCAAATGTTTTGCCCAATAACTCTTCTCAATAAAGATACCATTCGATAGAAAATGAAATTCTGAGTCGAAAATTGAGTATTTCTTGAGTACATCCTGAATTTTGCCGGATAACCCCCATTGATAATAGTCCTATCCGATAGGCAATAAAATTTGGCATTCATAATAATCTTTCACTGGCCAGCACAGGCTAGGGAACGAATCAGAGCGGGTAATTGTGATTTGGTTTTCTTATCACACGGACTCGACACCCCTTTTCTATTCCGAAGCTTACTTACAAACTTCATAACTTTAATTTAGTTGAGTTCATTTTATTCTTTGCCATACTCAATCGAATTATCATCTTCACAGGTGGACAAACTTCTAAGATCTCAAGAAGTTCTCGTGCTAGTATATGCGATGGCAGTTAGACGAGAGATTTACTGACTATTGCATTTATTCCAAATAAAAATAAATCGTAACTTAAAAAAAAAGAAGGACGAAATATGTCATCAATAAACAATCTCATTTTTCAATACTCCCTATTCATTGTTTATAAGATCGGAATTACTATTACTTGAATGGCTAGTTGCAGATTCATCAAGTATCTGCATACATATGATGCTTTGTTTTTCTATTTTTCTTCGTATATAAAGCGAGAAGACATCTAAAAAGTGATCCTACACATCAATTGAATACAAATTACGTAATGTCTGTGAAACCTACTAAATCACTACGATTTTTTTATGCGTACAAATATCATATACTAGAGTTCATATTGATTATTAATATAGATAGGAATACAAAAATTATATATTTTACTGATTATGCAAAAATCATTTCTGTTTTGTTCTCTATGCTACTGAATTCGTTTCGTATTATATCCTATTCAAGCAAGAATGTAGAACTAGACAAGTAGGAATCCTACGATGGAAAAGTAAATTAACATATGAATGTTGATGAAACCTAAAAGACTTAGTAATGAGAAAATTTTCATTATGACTGCATTTTTATGTCCTTTCTACATTGCTATTCGTTTTTATACACCCATGGTATCGTAAGGTTTGTCAAAATATAAAGAACTTCTAGCATAATTATGTAACAGATTGGGGTTGCGCGAGATAAAGTATCAGAAGTAAGATTCAAAATTAAACTGAAAAAATCATAATGTCTCATAACTAGATTTTAATAATATTTAAAGGGAGATGTTTAACAATCTTTATGAAATACTTAAACCTAGTATATTTTTAAAGTGACGATAAATATTTTCAAGTCGGAAACTTCAAATTTTTCTCTAAATTATCTTAATCTTAAAAATCTCGATAAAGAAATGCTAATCAGTACGTACATTCAGTAGCTTTGGATTGAAATCAATAATTTACAAAAACAAAACAAAATTCATTTCCCCAATGTGTGTATTTATTTTATATTTATGCGAAAAAAATCAATTCATGAAATGCTTGTAGCCCATCACCTAGTTTTTCTTTCATTTTCCCCTTGAATTTATTCCCATGTAAGAGTAGCTGTAATACGACATTGATAATTAGAGTTCTTTTTAACTTGAAATGATAAATTAATCAAATTTCCATCAATACTAGTTGAATTACATGTTGTTTTCTCAATAATTGTTTGAGAAGCTCCATAAAAATCAAGTTGACCACTGACATCTCTGTTTTTATAATTTGATATTTTCACACGAAGTTCGTATGTTTGCCAAGTAATTGTTGTTGCAGTTCTATTTGATGCTGTTACAGCTCCCTTGATTACATATTGAACATCATTATCTTCACCCTGAGTAATTTTTTGTGTATAATCTGCTGGAACATCAGGTAAACTTGATTGACCAATAAATACTTCATTATCTCGAATGGTTAAAGTTCCAGCTGGTAAAAATTTATCCGACGTTATGTCGTAGTGTCGTTGAAATGCACCAATATATTCTCCAATGCTGACGCTTGTTGTTGCTGTATAGTAAAATTTACATTTTAGATTGACAGTAATAAATGGTAAACGGATAGAACTTTTTGGATGTAAAGTATAACTATCTTTTAATGAATAAAAATAAAACCCCTTTTGTTCACCATCAGCTTGAATAGATGATTGATTGACCATAGCTAGTGGAGCTGCAGCTACTCTTAACATTGGTAGATTAGGTGAATTTAATGAATAACTATTCACTAGCTCAATATCACCACTATAAAAATAAGTATTATCAATTTGATATTCTTGTTGCTGATGATTACGTATATTAGCATACGCTCGAAGACTACATGCTGCAAACGTATAGAAAAAAAGATTCAGCTTATTTTTCAACGTCAATCGATCAAAAACTCACGATTGTCATCTTCAATAAATAAATCATAATTTGGTAACCATGTTATACTTCTCAATAGATAGGATAATGTTCCGTTGAAATTTGTACTATTATCTTTAAATTCAAATCTTACAGTAGTACCACCATCATCAGGTTTTACCGATACATATTCAATTGAACGACTATCCGCATAAAAATAACCGTTTGTAGCCAAATTTTTCAGTAACATGGTGTTCGGATCGACAATTTTTGCTTGTATACTTTCACATGTGCAGCTATATGATGGTCGAACAGTAACTATCACATCGTTGAGTGCATTAATAGTATTAAGTGTTTCTTGTTTAACAAACGGTGTGCCATCCCAACTAACTGAACCATCAATTATATTTGCATATTCATCACTTGTAAAATAATATTGGTGTGAACCAGTACCACTTTGACTTTGTCGAACCTCTGTTACAGTTTTATAGATGTTCAAGTCAATAGCAAATAACGGTTGGCTTGCGACAGCGATGAAAACGATACATGAAAGCAACATAGTTGCACAAATCAAATATTTCAATTGTCTGCTGATATATGTATATTTATTTATTTATTTATGTATATATGCATATATATTCACCCAAGAAAAATAGCAGACCAGATGACGAATTTATTCATCTCCGTTTTTCATATTAATAAAAACATATTTTGCGTCAATAAAAATACATAAAATTGGAAAAAATCGAACAAAATCTAAAAATATGGATAATAGTATGCTCTTTTGATCGAAAAACAATAATGAAGAGCATTAAAGTTTCTTTTGAGTGGGTGGTGTATCACTGAACGTTTTAGATAAATGTTTTTGTCGAAGTTCCATTTGTGTTTCTAAATTAAGACTTGATCGAATAGCCGGTGCTGTTGGATTACGAAGGGATGAATCTCGACGCACAGCAGTCGAAGTCAATAAAGGTGATTTGTTAACTAAATTATATAAATATAATGCCAATAAATAAAATAGACTTTCTCTTCTGTTAAAAAAATACCTTCTTCTTTGTCATCATCGTCATTTTCGTTACCATTATCATCATGATACATTTTATAACATTTATAAATCAATTTAATAACTATTACTAGTAAAAGTAAAATAACGACGACCAGACCAATGCCAAATATTATATTATTAATTGATGAGTCATTACTGGGTCCTGAAATACTATAGAATTATGAATTTTATTCTTGCAATTGAAAAGAAACAAAAATTCAAAGATTACTTTTCATGAAAGTTTTTGCCAAAGTATGATTAATAGTGTCATTAGTTTCAGAAATATTTAATGACACAATGACAACAGATGTTTCATCCGTGACAAAGTTTGACGAGTCCATCGGTTGTTTTCTTTTTGTATCAATTTAGTATTTATTGGTGTTCAATGAAAGTCTTTGAAAGACGTTTTTTTGTATTTTTGACTAATACAATTTGTCACGTTACTGAAATAATAACAACAACATCGTCAGTGCGCCATGATGGTTGTTTTATCGATTCAGCCCTTACTCGCATACATCAGAAAAGAAACAGAATCACCGGTATAAACTTACATCTACGTCCTCAACACAGAATTACTCACAAAAGACAATTAATGTAATAAAATATGCAGAACTTGTTAAGATTAATATTTACTTACTTGCATAGGTATAATAATCTTTAAATAACGAGGAAATTGATCGATCATCTAAGGGCTGACTGTTATCGATCACAGGTTCAATATCAACGATTAGATATGTCTGTCTTCGTTTAGAAAAGATTGTTGCATTGTAGATAATTGCCTTTGAAGAACATTGATACTGTTTGTTTAAATCAGCCATTATCTAAAATTTATCTAATAAAATATCTTGCATACTATATCATTTAGTAATTCAAAGCAGCGTAAAATAGAAGTCAACATTTTATTTTTTTCTCTCATTAAATAACAAAAAACAATAACGACACATTCAAGGTAAAAACGACGAATGATAGGTATAAATTGTGGTAGAAGAGCAGCAAAATGTAGATAAGAAACTAATGAGTATAAGACTACTACGAAGAACATTACTTGATTTTTGTATGATAGGTAATTGCGCAAGTTATGAAAAGTTAAAACCAGTTCGGTTGCTTTTTTCCTTGAAAATAGAAAGTTTAATGTGAAGCCGGAGAAATAGTTTTCACCAACAACAAAAATAAGCATAAACTGATGCCATTTCACAGTTGTCATCAACTAAACTGAGTCATCAGAAAAAACATAAAATTTAACAAAGAAAGGATCAATACGAGAAAAACACTTGGAAAAAGCATGCAGACGCAAAAGACATTGAAATTCCCTTGTGTTCTTCTAATGATTATTTGAATTAGACTTGAATTAAATAAAAAATAGAATTTAATTATAAAGTTTTCTCTTTTCAAATTATGTAGACATGTTATATTTCTACGAATTTACAATAAAAAAAACAAGTCTGATTTCTATTTATTATGGAATTGAAAGGATCCAAATGAATTACCATATGCTTTAAATTTCATGCGATGCTTCAATTCTCGCGCTTTCTTTTTGATTTGACATTAAAGAGTTCGTCGTAAAATCCTTTTGAAACTTCTTTAATCTTTTCTCTCATAAATAGATAATAATCTTACAAAAACACTCAATGATATTGAAAATGTGTAAAATTAAAAAACAGCAAGTCGATAAAAGTAAGACTGAAAATAAAGAGTTTATTTTTAGAAAAATAATTCGGTATTAAAATTAAGAAGTAATGAGAAAACATTGAAAATATAAAAATAACATTGAAGTAAATCTCCTGCTTGCTGACACCCACACACCAACATCTATTGCTTAATATTGAGTAACATGTTATCTAAATGTATGTTAGAATGACCATATATAATATCTTTATGTAATCAATCCTTTTCCCTATCAATCGTCTGATTTATTCAAGGTGTTGATTTTGCTCAACAAAAAATCCGTATGTCTAGTTCGATTTAACAGAATGGACAAATTTTTCGAATAGTATTGATATCGATATATTAAAAATGTCTCTCGAATTTCTATCACACCGATAAAATAATTAACATGAATCGAATGTCTACAGCAAATGATTTGAAATTTAATTTATGTACATTAATCATATATTACTAATAAAAATTTATTCGAGTTCTTTTTCTTATTATTCTCTTAACATAAGAGCATAAACTTTTCTACGTGCCAATGGAAATATATTTTTTCTTTCTCGTCAACATATACTAACACTTCTTGAGTGGAGTCAATATTGATGCGTGGCAGCAATATTTTATTATCTTATCTTTCCAGAAAATAAAATAAAGAACTTGCAAATATATCTTTATCATTGATTGTAAACAGGTCTTTTTCGTTTGATCAAATTGAAATAATGGGTCTTGGATTTCTTTTTTACTTCATAGTTGTTAATGGTTGTCTGTACATATAAAAATGTAAAACTACATGGGAAAATTCTGAAAATTTTCAATAATATCCATATGAATCTAACCGATATAAAGTCAATCTTGACGATTGCATGTGTTTTGTACGCTTTATGAATGATCAAAGAAGAAATAAAACTCATGCATAAGAAAATCATATTTTGATTTGAAAATTAAAAAGTAAATCAATTCAAGGCCAATATTTACATAGGAATTAGAAGATATTGAAGCATTCGATTGATATAAATCTTAAAAGTCATTCATCATTAAAGTTTATTTGATTCTATTCAAGGCGATAGAGAAAGCATCCAATTAATATCAATTACATACTTGTCACGTTGCTCATCGCACAATATGAAATTTACTATAGTGAGCGACAGTAGTATGTCGTTTTGCTATCATGAGAATTATTTTGGTATCGATTTTTTTGTTTTTCATTTTAATTAGACTTCGTTCTGTTAGAAAGTTTAATTACATGCAACATGTTCATTAGACGTAGAAATCTTTTCTCCATCAATAGCTAACCGTTTTGTTTCTTGCTTCGTTGAAATATTGAAAATATGCTTGTTACTTGAAAATTTCACGGATATATTATATTACTAAAATATTTTTATAGAATGCCTCGAACAAAAAAATTGAAGAGTAATTTTACAGTTAATTTTTTGTCTTTCAATTTCGTTCTGTAGAAAAAGAAAGAGTAACATCTATTTTAATTCTATTATTTTTATATTTGAGTACTATTCATCAAGCTACACTAAAATTATCTACAAGTCATTCGATCGCAATGACAAACAAGTAGACTATGATACGAAAAATAGGCTAATACAGTAGCAACAATTTCTTGTATAGCTTTAAATCGGATAAATACAATGACAATCACTATAAGTACTACGAGTATGCAATTGAGAACAAGAAAATTCAATTGTCAGAATAATAGCAATCGTTACATTCGTAATCTCGAACACAACCATAATAGCTATTAACACGGAAGCTTCCAAGATGATTGTAAAAACTACGATAACAAGAGACCACTAAGTTTGTTCGCCGCTATATAATACATGACGCAAGAGTCTTGAGAAACACTATCTCTCTATTATCAAATTACGCTGTCTTTTTATCATAGTTCGCAAATCAACTAAACTAATTATTTTGAATCGAAGTAACATAATATATTACATAAGTTCGACTTCAAGTATTTTTGTCTTGATAATATCAACTGCACGATCGTTTCTATTGATATCAGTATCAATTGAAGAAGCTTATCGGGACGATCAATCTATTATTGACTAAGATATATTCTAAATCCATTGTTTTCATCCTTTCATGTAGCCTAGAGATCGTATGAACAATTAGATAAAAAAAAGAAGAAGAAATTTGGTAACGATTCAAGATAGAATTCATTCGTGTCAACATTCTATGATGTTTCTAATAGAGACAACTTCAAAAGATATTTTTTCATATCAATTGCGATTTATTCTCTATGGGAAAAAAATACATTCCTCCTTTTTTTTTTAACATCAATAAAATCGAAAGTACATTATAGCTGCCATTTTATCGGTATCAATTCAATGATCAAAACCTATTGAACAAAACAATGACATCCATTAACCGACTTTTCAAAATAGTTATTTGTTTTTTGAATTTCTAGACCAAGCATAATGGGTAATGTTATCAATGAATAAACAATCAACAATTGTGGCAAACGTTTGAGCTTGTACAATTCACTATACAACTTAAAATTAAAATAATCTCTAGCAGACATTCGCAATCAATCAAAGCGATACATAATATATTAAATCAGTTTTTTCTTCTTCATCAATTGATCTATTTGTATTAATTATTTATACAAATATGTATTCATGAATGTAATGGCTATATATTTTCTTTAATATTCTTATTGAGCAGATGTTGTCGCCAACTTGTTCATTACTCGTTCTCATATCGCAATGTCGGAAGAAGATATATACATGTTAGATGACCTCTCTTTCTCTGTCGAAGCATACATAGGGGAAAAAAATGGGAAAGAAATTTATGCGTCCATTTTCTCTTTCTTTCATATATTTGTCTGAAACGATGACGGATGTCTACAGTAAATGAACAATAGATTCTACTGTAAAAAAAAAAGAAAGAAGAAAGAACCAATACTTAATAGATGGAAGCTTTTCAAAGTACAACTATATGAGTAAGTGTTGTTGATCTTTATTTTTAATTTCTAAAATCACAATGTTTGCATTAACATGATGGTTTGAATATTCAATTGTTCACAAAGTAGGCAGGAAACTATACAAGTTGAATGTATGTATACATATGTGAATAGATGAACACAATTTTGTCACCGCCCTCCAACTGTGATATCAAGTATACGAACATAAAAAGCCTTGATTTTTTTTTTTTTGATTGATTGAGTTAGTTAATTGGACAGGCTAATGCAAATGTCTACTCGTTAATGCTCTTAAAAGGAAGAATCACACATGAGGGGGGTAGGACGGAAGAGAATGCGCGTGTATTTCAAAGACAAACAATGTGAGTTAGTTGTTCATTGAGAAATGAGCGAAAGGCATTGTACAGATGTGTGATGATGGATGCTCGTTATTTTAATGATTATAACTTTCTTTTTCCTTTTTTTCTCTCACTCGTCTCATTGCCTTCGGACATAAAGTGAACGACAGCAGCTTCCATTTTTTGACTACAATTCAAAGTAGAATAGAAAAAGAAGAAAAAGGTATCCACTTGAGACTTGAACAATAGAGTCTATATCTATACCTAGAAGGAGCCAGAGCTAATCAACCAATGTTCTAAATATAATCCGTTTCTGATCACATGCATGACCAACGAATATTATGTAGAGTAATCCTATGTCTATCCGTCTGTGATTGTTTTTTTTTCTTTTAATTGCAAACAGCAAGAGAATTCTATTGTATAAAATTTCTAAATTGAGGGTAAGCTACTCGTATAACGAATATCACTAATTATGAAAAGGTCGCGAGTTGATTATTTTTCCTTGAGTTTGATACATACATGAACATGTGTCTACTACATCTGATGTTCTAATTGCACGCGACGATGCGCTTTGTTCATAACGTGTATACGTACACTTGTTCATTCGTTTTATATGCCTGTTGACCATGCAAACTAGTTTTTATTTTTAATCAGTCAACGAAGTATCATCGTTAAAGTGATACTTCGTCGATAAACAATAGTAAGAGCTATCACTCGAGTCACCTACGTGAGTAGTAACTCATATTTGTAGATAGGTCTAATAATACTCGATATACGTACATGTGTATAGTCTATTGAATATAGGCAGCAGTTGAACACGTTCAACCATTATTTCATTGCATTCATGAGTCTCAATGGACAATAATAATAAAGAAGAAGAAAAAAATTTGTCCAGGAAATCATTATGTGAGTGTCATCTGTTTGTGAAATATTCTAACAATAAAAAAAAAAATCATTTTCTTATTATTGAATTAGTTTTGTATTCAGGTGCAACGGTCATCAGTGTGAATCTTTTCAAATAAGAAGAAAAAAGAAGAAGATAATGCCTTATTACATCATTGTAGGTCTTTTCATTACTTTTAGTTTCGATTGAATGTGTCACAAACTAAGTACATATGCTTTTATATTATCTTAAAATAGAAATAAGAAAATTTATTCAATGAAATGACTTTCTTCTTTTCTTTTTTTTTACTTCGTGCCAAGGACTCCTTGTTCCGCCTCTTCTTTCATTTACAAAATTCAATTAAGTCTGTTAAAACAGATGCTTGCGCCGGTCATCATGGGAAAGTTACGAGCTGCTATTCTCTATTAATAAAAGGTTATTCTCTTTGTCACCATCATTACTTCTTGTTCTGCATGTTCATATGCCATAAGTCATTTTCTTCCGGTTAGTCCTGATTGTAGTTATTATCATCTTCCTCCCACTGTGCTTCTTAGTTGTCGTTCGAATGACGATTATCGAAGACTAATAATAGATGTTGAGTGAATATTGAGAACAAGAACGAGAGACTAAAAGAAGAAAAGAAAAAGAAATAAGCACAACCGGTACGTCTGTTTATTGACTAATGCGACTATTACTATGATCAAGCGTGTCAAATATTGTTCACACATTTGTTAAAGATTTTTCTCCTCCTTGCTGGTTTCTCTCTCGTCTTCACCTAATTATAAAGTTCAACATTTCATATGACAATGATATAGTATAGAGATCATGAAAAGTGTATTTATCGCTTTTGAAATATAGCTTACATCTCACTGACTGAGCATGACAACATGTCTGTCTCATCATCAACTGTCATTAAGCAAACTCCTCTTTTCTATACTCTCTTGCGTTTATCAATTGATTAGTCAGAGAAGCTCAAGCGGTGTATTCATCTTTTTTTTTCTTGTGTAAATATTTTATTTTATTTGAGTTCCAAGCATAGCAGATTTGTTTTTTCTTTTTGAAGTGAACGTGACTTTCGTTTGACAAGCGCTTAAACATCAATAACAACATTATTAGTTCCACCGTAAAGTATGTATTGTGTATGTGTTGTGCCTATGCGTATATATTTTTATGATAATGTTCATTGTTATGATCCTGTTTGATAAATGCACGCTCGTGTTCAAACATTTTTCTTCATTTTTCATTTTTTCTTATTAAAAAATCTTTGTTTTTATGGCTTAAGATTGAATAGTAATTCTTTTGAAGTTGTCATCATTGTAGAAAAAAAAAGAGAATATATCCCAAAGCAATTGAGAATGTATGTGGAATAGTTATGTTTATGCGATCGCATGAAGACATTGTTCATGTATAACCTTTTCCATTCTTATTAATCACTAAACGAAGTTGAACATAGCGTATACTTCTATTTGGCCATTACTATTGATTATACAAATAGTTTAGAATTGCTTGTAAATTCCTTGGTCAATTGAAGAGAAAAATACTCTATATCACACTTTATTGATAATCAGATTATCATTCATGATAGAGAAGCGAGAAAAATAAATAGATGAGAATTATCGTACTTATTTTTTCTCCTAGAAATCTTCATTACTTATGTGATTTATTTATAGTCTATTTACGATATTTATGAAAGTAATAATTATCGTTTTCGCTCAATAATCTCAAATTGTTCTATTTGATATTCATTTTTAGATATATCAATACTGATTGAAAACATTATGAACATATTCTTATTTATTTTATTATTGATTCCAACAATTTATTCTCTTGAATTAAGTAAATATTTCAAGAAAAAAAAAATTTTACAATCTATTTATTAAATTAAATTTTTATTCATAGAAAAACTATCAATATGTCAAACAGCACTAGGCATGCAGTCAGGCTCTATTCCTGATTCAGCTATATTAGTATCTAGTAGTTCTGATTCAAATACAGTTGGAACTAAAGCTAGTCGGTAAGTTATTTCATCTGATAGACTGAGAATATCTTCTATTGTACTCTGTTTTGTATGTAGAGCTCGAACGGAACAGTATGGTGGTGCATGGTGTCCATTGAATAAAATAACATCAATACCAAATGAATGGTTAGAAATAGATTTTGGAAATTTAACTTATTTAACACAAGTTGAAACACAAGGTCGTTTTGATAATGGGCGAGGAAAAGAATATGCTGATTATTATATTTTAATGTATACACGAGGAGAAAACATTAAACAGAATGAAACAATATGGATTGAATATAAATTAAAAAGTGAAAATACTAATTCAACATGGATACGAGCTAATCAAAATACTTATATTGGAGAAATTCGACATTTAAGTAAGTGCTACCAGAAAATCAGAAACACATAGTGATATCTTTAAGATTCAACTTTTCTAGTTTAAAACTTATAATACATTAACCACTGTATGCTATTAAAACTAGTCAATTTTATTCTTTCTTTGTTTTTCTTGAAATTCACATTTATTATTTTTCGAGTATAATATGGAGTATAAGTATTCATATTCCATTTTAGCTTATTTTGACTGTTAGCAACAGAGACTATTCAAAATTCAGTATCTACATTTCACTTAACAATTGAAGATAAATGACATCAGACTCTTGTTTACTCTAGCTTCTTGAGGAATAAAAAAAAGTATTTTTTCAATAGTATTAACATTAGAATATGATCTGTTCTAAAGTACTGTATTCAATTTAATAACTGGAATATGGACATGTCAGTTCTAAATGGCACAGTTTCTGATTATTGTAAAGATAAACAATTGCATAATAATTATCAAGGATATAATCGGCAGCACTGTATTTAATTGACTACAGTCATCATATGGTTAACATGAAAGTCATTAATTAACTGATCGAGTTCTAATTTTGGGTATAATCAATATCAGTACCGCTGATTTTATCAAGATATAAAAGAGCATATAAAAACATGTTCTGAATATAATAGATGTGAACCAAAAGCTCATTTGTCAGTTAAATCAATGATTGAAATAATAATCTAACGTTATAGAAAATGGTTGTAATAAAAAAAGATAAGTAATAGTCGAATAAACAAAAACTAATACGTTAGTAAAATGAATTTTGTTCGAACTTAAAAGAAAATGAATAAGACAGATGATCTGTCAAAGATTTTATACTTGATTTATAATCAGCTTAAAAAACGCAAATATTTTTCATATTTCAGCCTCAACAATACAAAACTGATGATAAGCTTTTTCTTTATTATTTAGATCCGCCTATTGTTGCTAAACGACTTCGTTTTTATCCTGTTAGCAAACAAATACGAACAGTTTGTATGCGTGTTGAAGTGTAAGTGTTAAATCTTATTTTGAATTTAACTTATTTGTTTCTTTCTCTATTTAGTTATGGCTGCTTATTTTCCGATGGCATTGTATCTTATTCGATGCCGCAAGGACGTAGTGATATAAATTCTTTTGGTGATGATACGTACGATGGAGAATATATTCGTTCTACAAACATGTTAACTAATGGTCTAGGTCAACTATCAGATGGTATAACAGGTACAGAAGAAATATCAATTATTGATGGCCATCAACCGTGGATTGGTTGGTCAAATGAAACAAATTCATATATAACAATAAAATTTCAATTTGATTCTATTCGTCAAATAAATCGTGTTACAATACATACAAATAATTTATTTTCTAAAGAAATTCTTATATTTAAAACTGCAGTAGTATCATTTTCAAAAACTGATGATGAAAAAAGTTATTCAAATGCAATTATCTATGAACATACTCGTGACGATATATTTGAAATAGCTCGGCCAATATTAATTGAATTAAATAATCATGTAGCAAAATTTGTACGTTTAGATTTATATTTTGATTCTAAATGGTTATTAATTAGTGAAATAACATTTGATTCGCAAATATACAATGAAAAACGTGAACCGAACATAGAAATTAAAGACAAGATTCTTAAAAAATCTTTTAATATCGGCCATGATTTACGTAAACACTATCGAGACATGCAACTAACAACAACATCAATGAATTCATCTAGAAAAATGTCATCAGTTATTACAATTGAATTATCTTTAGCATTTTTTATTGGAGCTTTATTAGTTATTAGTATACTAGTAATTGTTTCACTTTTATGGATACTTCAACGAAGGAAAAAATTAAAATTTCAAAAGTAAATATATTATCAAGAAATTTATTTTGTCTTACAATTTTTATTATTATTTAGATTAACTGAAAAACCCTGTAATAATTCATCATGTTATGCTTATCCGACATTACCAATACGTGAATTTCATGATCTAAATGGACCTATTATGAGTGCTATGGATGATCGTGAATATACAGTACCAGATATAAATTTCTATTCAACATTTTCTCCTCAACATCCTATATCTAGTCCTCATCTAATACGAGCACCAACATTAAATTCAAATATGATGAGTCCATATCCAACATTGAAGCCAGCTATACATTGTTGTGTTCATCAACAACAATATCAACCTTTGTATCAATCGTCACCGATGATACTTTCTGCAATAGAAGACATACCACCGATTGAAGCTATTTGTGGAAATAATTTAATGATTACAATTAATCGAATGGTAGACAATAGACAAATATCAATAAAAGAAATAAATAGTGATGATTTGATTTTTATTGAAAATATTGGTCATGGATTATTTGGAAGTATTTATTTAACTGAATTAAAAATAATTAATAATGATAATAAGATGGAAAAAAAGAGTGTAATTGTTAAATCCTTAAATGATAATGCCGATGAAAAGCATAGGTGAGTCTTAAATGAATGAAACATGGTTTCTATTACATAGATTGCATTATAATTCTGAAAAATAACTTTATGGTTCTACTATACAAATTGATTCAATGATATTTTTTAGATAATATTTGTAATTAAGTCAGAATTTTAACTAACTAAGAAAAACTCCAAAATCAAAAATTTACCAAACTGATTATAACAATTCCAAATTAGAGATGCATTCCTGAGTTTTTTTTTCTATATTAGCTACTATTGAGAAACTTCTTCTAGAGTGTACTCTTTTCTCATAGACAGTACTGGGTTACTATTGTTAGTTACGCTCGAGATAGAATGCATGGAACAATGAATGTTTATATAGAGTACATTCACATTCTTTTTGGATTATTTATTTTCGTAAATTTTAAATAATAGATCACAATCAATCGATCGTAAAATGACTGTGGAAACTAATGACAATGTTTCAAAAATCTCTATGATACAATGAGAGTATTAGAAAAACTAAACAGTTAAATACGAGTACAAGAAGCTTGATTGAACTATATTTTTTCTGGATCTTTCTATTTTGAATATAGTCGTATTTTAACGAAAATCCAAATCATTAAATAGTATTTAACTTGAATTCTTTGAGTATATTTTAATTTTAATTTTGATTAGTTTATTTTTAAATGAAAACTAATCCTACCAATAACCTATAACCTGATGTTTTTAGAGCGTCATTTTGGAAAGAAATTGAATTACTTTCAATGTTGAAAAACTCAAATGTATGCTCTCTATTTGGTATTCTAAATTCACAACGAACAGTAGCCGTATTCGAATATTATTCACTTGATTTATATCAATATCTTCGTCAACAATCTATACCAATGGATAATTATTCAGCATCAAGCTTTTTACTTTCATTAGCATGCCAGATAGCATCCGGAATGAAATATTTATCATCTCTTCAAATAGTTCATCGAGATTTAGCAGCAAGAAATTGTTTAATTTCACCTACAGATTATCAGGTACACTTGACTGATATTGCTATGGCTAAAACAGAATATGTAAATGATTATGCAAGAGTTGGACAACTTCAATCTCGTATTGCTATACGATGGTCTGCTTGGGAATCGATATTTTTTAATGAATTTTCTTTGAAATCAGATGTTTGGTCTTTTGGCGTCACACTTTATGAATTGTTTACTTATTCACGACAACGTCCGTATCATACATTAACAAATGAACAGTTAGTGCAGCAATTTGCTGTTCTAACACATGCAGAATTATCACCATCTGGTTTCACTATAAACAATTTTCATTTACCACAGCCAGAGTTATGTTCAAAAGAAATCTATGATATGATGTGTGAATGTTGGCAAAGAGATGCTTTACATCGACCATCATTTGCTGATATACATGCATTTTTACTTCGTAAAGCTGCTGGCTCAAATTTGCCAACATCACTTGAATCATAGGTGTTATAGTTATTGTTGTTGTTGAAAAACGAACAACGTATTCAGTATTCTTTATATACATATATATATATATATATATATGCGTACATACATGTAATAGATTTTGCAACTGTTTTTCCTTTTATTTTTGATTTTGTACTAAAATATTGCTTTCATTAAATCTGTCATTTGAATTCAGGAATACGTAGATATTTATAATAAAATATGATTATGACATGAAAATATTAAACATTTCGATAATCTATTGAAAGGAAATGATATACTAATACCTTATAAATAGGGAGAAATATGCGTAGATAACTCGCGAAGTATTCTACCAAATGAAAATATTATGTTATTTATATTGGTGATCGATACTCTTTGATCTAGTAAATTGCAGTAGACTTGCATCATAATAACAGATTGTCATTGATTGGTTTGATATGAAATCATATACATACTAATTTACTCAATTTTCAGTTAATTTAACTGTTTTTTATTGAGTTCTTTGAATGAATTGCTATTTTTACTGAGTACTAATACAGAAGTGTTCACCATTTGTTCTACGATTTTATCTATAACTAATGCATATATTTTATTGCTGATATAAACCTTGATTTTTTTCCGTTGGTCATGATCATTGTGATTATTCTATTTTTATTTTAGCTGATTTGATTGTGAATTGTTTTTATCTGTCATACAGAATAATCATTGTGTTTTTATTGATAACCAATATTATTTCTTGATGGTCGTTTAAGTTAATCAAAGGAATTCGTCGGTAAAAATCTTCTCGTCTCTCTTCAAGTACATTGTTATATTGACGTCAACTGATCCGTTACTTCAACATTCTAACGTATTGCTTACTGTTAGTATTTCCTTATTCTATTTTGAATTGAACCTTTTGAAAAAAATTTTTCTATAGAATCGTCGTATATTTTCATAGTAGAATATTTAATTGCAAGCTTTTCTATGGTTAATTCCGGGACAATAATTTTTATCGTTTGATGATTATTAGAGGAGAGAAGTAATTCATTAAAGATAATTAATCTAGAACCTTTGTACGAAAGGAAAAAATCATTGTGTTCTCGAGCTAAGCTAACCATTCACGATCGACATTGCCTGACATCTATAGATGATGAAAAGATTATTTTGCGTCGTAAGCAAAAACAAAATCAACAACAAACATACTCTTACCGACAATATTGCGTTGTCAAATCAACCATTGACTAAAGTTCATTTTCAAAAAATATGAATAAAAAAAATGCTCAATAATAATATTTGGTTTATTTTAATAAAATTAAATGGGTAATCATCATTCAGTGAAACGTGAATGCTTACACGAAGCGATACGTCGAAAAGATGTTAAAAAAATAAAACAAATTGTATACAATAGTGATATAGATTTTATTAAAAATGATTTTAAATCTCTTGAACTTGCCACATTATATAATCTTACTGAAGTAGTTGAATTACTACTTAGTCGTGGTTGTGTACCAAGAGATAAACGAACAGCACGAGCATTTGATCTTGGTAATTATAATATAGATCAAATTTCGATATTCATACATTCTATTTCTTTTTTTCAGCTGTTTGGAAATGTCATAAAGATATCGCAACAATGTTTTTAAAAGCTGGTATTGAATACAAAGGAAGAAATCAATTCAATGAAACTATATTATTTGTGTCAGCATGTGGAAATAATTCAACATTAACTGAAATTCTTATTGAAGGCGGTTGTGATTTAAACGAATGTACACGTAGTTGGACTGCTTTGCATGTTGCTGCCGCCAGAAATCACGATGAAGTATTACGAGTACTTGTTAAACATGGATGCGACTTAAATATACGTGATCGTGATGGTAAAACAAATAAATGAAACATCATTTTTCTTCTGAAAATATTCTTTTTAATTCTTGTACGTAGGTTTCAATGCGTTGATGCTAGCAATTTTGAATGAAAATTTAAAAAATATAAAACTTCTTGTTCAATGTGGCTGTTCAATAAATATTGAAGAACTCTATTCAACGCCATGTGTTGCTAAACAATTAGCAAAATATCCTGAAATTGAACGCATACTTTGGAATGAACGTACACGTGCAAAAAATTTAAAAGAATTATGTCGCCTTCGCATACGTTCAGCTTTAGGACAACGATTATGGAAAAAAACATCATTATTACCATTGCCAATAAGAATAAAAGATTTTGTTGCATTAAAAGAATTATTTGTTTCATGTGAAGAACAACAACAAGTAACCCTGACACGACTGCCACGTACAAATATTCAAGCAATTCAATCCTAAATCATCGCTTTCATTTTCGTTTTTTTTTCTTTTCTTTTGAGGAACAGTTTTATGAACTAGTCATGTTTGATGTTGTATGTGTGGATTCGTTTTTCTTTTTCTTCGTAAATCTTTCGTTTATATATCAAGATCTATTCGTTTTCTCTCTCTCTCTCTCTCTCTCTCTTTAATGTAAATTTTACAGATATTAAATATAGTGGTATTGCTTTGTTTTTGACTATTGGAAAACGTAAAAATATGTTCATAAAAATGATTATTATCGGAAAACTATGTGTAATACAGCCTGTCTAATTTGGAAAATTTTCGACTAAACTGGATTTTTAGACCTCTTTGATTCGAATCATATTTTTCAGGCAATTATATGGTAATGAGATCTATGATATAATGAGTCGATTAAGAGAAAACTTTCCGGCTCATGTTCTATTTTACAAACTTTGGAATTAACGGCAACTATAGATAAATTATGACCTGTTTTAAAATTAAATTAACATTCATTTCTCTTATCAATAATGCTGTTCGTTTTTTCAGACGATTTTCTTTTCAATGAGAATAAAGTCATGAAATTTTCACTGTATCATTATATTGATAGTTTTAGATTATATTATGTCTTCTTCGGCGTCTCGTCGTTCCTCCACGTCAGTTTCAAATTCAAAAGCATCGAAAGCTCAACAAAATTCTATTCAGGTTATACATTCAGGTTTGATTCTATTGTTTTCGTTATTTTTATTTTTTTTATTTTTTCTCTGTTTTCCAGCTTCTTCAAGCAGAGAACGAATCTCTTCGTCGAGAAATAATTGCTTTGCAAAAAATATTCTCAATACCAGTTGACGAAAATCATCGTTACACACATTTTCGTTATCAAATTTATTCTCTTGAAAAACAAGTTTCTTTACTAACGCGTTTACTCGATTGTAAAAGAGAAGCTGTAGCAACATGTGAAACAATTCTTTTGGAACTAAATCAATTTCTACAGTGAGAATAAACAAACTCATCAATATTATTTATTGACTATATTTCTTTTTATAGGGATTTTAAAGGTAAAATCACTCGTAAGGAACATATCGATGAACTACTCATACAGACATGGATTGATCGAATCGAGAGTAATCGAAAAAAATCTTTTAAATCGATGCAGGTATTATTTAGCTTAGAAATATTTAATTGTCTACTTGAAAACAATTTCTATAGGATCATACAAGTCTATCAGATAGTGATACTCTCTATGCACCTAATAGCGCAAAATTTATTCATCAGGAGCCAATTCATCTTCTTGATATATGTTCCGGAAAAATCGAACATCTTAATTTAAAGAATATTGTAAGTTAAATACGGATCTTTGGCATTATCTATAACTACTTTTTCTTTTATTCAGGCCAATTTAGAAAGTTCATTGCATAATCTTCATGCTGATCTTCGTTCATTTCAAAATGAATTACTCGATCAAACAAATCATAAAATTTTTCCTGATCTTGACCACAATTTAGTAAAACGTTCAAAAGAATTATCAAATAAAATAAATATTACAACCAATGAACTATTTTATTTATCAATACTTGTTCCAACTAGAGTAAATATTCTATGAATACATCGACAATCACGAGATCAATCATGCGTTTCTTTCCCCACAGCCAGAAAATGAAGGTCGAAAGAACAATATATTTGCTAGTTCATCTAGTAAAAAATTCTTTTTCATATAACTTGAAACTATATAGCTAGATCAAATCCACGAAGAAAACCTGTAGATAGAGTTAGTCAATATTTATTCATATTTTACCTTCGAGAAATTCAAATTAATTGAGCCACCGAGCCTTGCCACCGAGTTCGACAGTTGCATCGAAAAACAAAAGGAAGCTTTAGTTTCCTTTGGTTAGACATCTATCTATGTAAATGCTGAGAATATGCCAAATATGATTTCTTTCTCTTCTCTTTACTAGCATCAGAAATGTTCTTTTGCTCCTGAACAAATCACAACTGATCTAATTTGTCAACGAATCAATTCTCAATTTCGTTTATCACCAAATATTAAACTTGTTTTACAATCCATGATTGACTCACTTATATGTTCATATAATCATGAATTACATTTATTAAAATTAGAATCAAATATAAAAACTAAACAGCTGTCATTTTATCGTCATTCATTAGCTAATATTCATTCTCAATATATACAAAATTTAATTGAAATTCTATCAACTGGACAACAATCATTTAATAGACAAATACAAACACATCTTTATGAACCATTGGTAAATGTAATAAAAGATTTTAATCGTATGAATAATGAAAAAACAGATGAATCATTAAAATCATTTTTATTTACCTTTAAAATTCATATCGATCAATTCAATGAAGTTGTTCATGATCTTTACCAACAAATTACTGATGGCTCAAAAGCTGTTAATCAATTGTTTATTGAAACAAATGAAAAAATGTGGAGTGATATTGAAAAACAACAAAAAAAATTACTTGATGATATATCATTAGTGAAAACAGAACAAATTTTTACTGATGACCATTCATTTGACAAACTTTCACAGTTATTAGAAATGTCTCACTTAGAAAAAAATGTTTAATTTTGAATGGATAATAAAATAAAAAAGTCAAACGATATCGTCATGATAATAGAATATAAAATATGATCTAATTGCTGATATAATGAAAGAAAGACTTCAACAGTACAACGGTTTGGTTTTGTTAATTACTGCTTACCTACTTGTCATGCATACCGATGACGAACGATGATAATCGTTCTTTAGATGATTGTTATAGTCTGTGTTTGCGTGTGTCAGAGGAACGGCTGAAGTAATTACATCGGAATGTTTCAAAAAAAAAGCATCTCCATTCAGTAGTTTATGTTGTTAAACAAAATAAAAATGAGTCAAACCTTTAGCAACCATTTTTCCATTCATATGAAAGAATTTTTACACAACATAGTAGTGTCTTATATTCAGGGGATTTAAGAATGCAAGTTTGTCATGTTTTTGGTTAATTATTTTCTCTATCATCATACAATTAATGTTTCGTCGAGTAAATCTTTTGCATATATGGTACAGCTCAACATCTGATACGAAGTAGCCATCATTCTATGGAATTAACAACACTAATGTTCAATTATAGAGAGTAGAAAACTTTTTTCAAAGACTTTTGTGAGAAGAAAGTACAACGGTGTGGGAAGACAAATTTTGTAGTTCCGGCATTCTTATCAGGGTGTGGATCCATGCTGCTTAAATACACGTCCACACACACACATCAGAAAACACATACATGCAAAAGGCGAAAAACCACTTCGAGTCGACTTTTCAACTTTCGAGATTTCAACTGTTGAACTTTCACCTGAATGGTAAAGGGAGGAAAACAGAGGCAACAGTGAGGGCGATTGGAGAGAGAGAGAGAGGAAAGAAAAATATCAATGGGAGAGTGATAACAATCTCGGCACACCAACAACACAACAAACAGGAGATTGAGTTGAACAACAATTTGTCGGATCATTAGGACAACATATGTTATTTGAAGATGCATATAATGATAATATCGTGTCTTACAATAATTGAAGTACACAAAGTCAACTTCTATTTTTGACAACTTGATTGCTAACCAACAAAATTATTTCTACTACATCTTTGTCATGTACACTTACTATTAACAGATAATGAAGATGTCTATTGGATGAGCATTGTTGACTAAATCAATGAGAAATAAAATCCTTCGTTCGTTCACTGAGCGTTGATATAGACTAGAGAACAATATATCATCACTATTTTCTTTCATTGCCTGTAGCGATCAAATATTAAAATCGAATAAGCAACAATAATATATAAATACATGTATATAGTTGTTGACATCAGTAAAATTAGAAAGAATTGTGAAATGAATACGAACATGGAATATTCGATTGTTCAATTGATCGATTTGCCGGATGAATTACTTCTGATGATTGTCAAGAACCTGAACAATGTTGAATTACTCTATTCTCTTATGGGTATTAACAAACAATTAGATAGAATTATATCTGATCCAGTCTTTACTAGAAATTAAACACTATTAAGATATTTTTCTAATCGTCTTGTTTGTCCATTGGTTGACACAGTACTTGATCGATTTTGTTTACAAATACTACCTCAAATACATCATAAAATCAATTGGCTTAATGCTGAATCATCATCTATGGAACGTATTCTTCTTGCTGCTGATTATCATAATTTACGCAATCTAGGTCTTTACAATGTTGACGAGAAGACTGCTGAACGTGTTTTCGCAGGTAAGATATGGCATTTAGATTGTTTCTATTCTTGAAAACATGAGAATTAAATATGATTATTTTTGGTTTAATTAATATAATGAAGAAGATTATGGCATATCTTTTATCTAATTCTTAATGCGAACGAAAACTAAGTGATCAAAAGAGAGATTCATAAATAATGACAAAGAGAAAAGGCAAAGAAAGCATCGAGAATGTACATGAATATTCTTAAAATATACATTACAAAATATAATTTCAATTATTTGTGGGTCAAGTTTGTTCAACACATGTTTCGTTAAAGAAAAAGTACTTCTTCAATGATGTTAAATGTCGTCTGGCATAATCTAGACAAATGCATCTCTTCATCATTAAAAGTTAATTAGAAAAAGAATTATAGAAATATTTGAAATAAGAAGTCAAATAAATAATATCATATGTTGTATGCATGTTTAGATGAATCTCCTTTATTACATATATTCAACAACAAAAAAATCCAATCACTTGTTATTACAATGATTGGTAATAAAACGAAAACATCAGCCAGTGATTTTGTAACATCGATCTTTACCGTTGTGTTAAGTGTGTTCAACAATCTGCTTTATTTAAATTGTAATCCATTTGCGGAATCGCATTTGCGACGATTATCGTTTGGTGAGAAAACTCCAACATTTTTCTCGTTAACTTTGCTGGAGTTGTATGTCAATGTTGAAAAGTTAAACGATTGTCTTAATCTGCTCGATGGCCATTTAAATCAACTTCGTATATTTTATGTTGACATTAAGTTTTTTAATTCGCCGTCGGAAATGATCATGCACAAAGTAGGTTACGTTGGAAGATTAAAATCTTTTCTTGCACACTATTCTTTTTAGACACTGTTGCCTAATATTATACGTTTTTCGTTGATGGTAGATCAGAAATAATTTTTTATAATGAATCAATCGTAGAACTTCTTCAGCAAATGACGAATCTGGAAAAACTTGCTTTATATATTTCTGTTGAACAAAGAACATTTATAGATGGAAATAATTTGAAAAATGATATTATGAATCATTTACCAAAATTGAATAAATCTACCTCCAATATGCGTTCATTTATTCATAATTTTGATCAAACTCATTTACTATCAAATGAAGAAATACAACATATATTGACAGATCTTACGGTCAACCAAGTCATTTCTATTCATATCCGTATACATTGAGATATTATCATAATGTTACAAATAGCTTTTCAAGTGGATTATTCAAATGTGTTCGTGAAGGATCATTATTTGATGATCGTTCTTTCGAACACGAAATTTTTGTGCGAATTGCTCAAGCATTTCCACTGTTGGAAAAATTATCTATGATTAATCGAACGCCTCAAAATCGAAACACAAAGAACAAGAATGAACCTTTATTGATCATAGAATATCATCATCTACTTGAATTAGATTTTCTTAATGTTAATGATGATTACCTCGAACAATTCCTGATTAAGACTAAAACGTACTCACCTAATAATGTTTGCCTTTATGCTAATTATGAATCTTTGAAAAGAGTGACAAACTGTTTTAGAAGAGTTGCAACCCGAGCCAATGCTGCCAAAATAAATTCTTTGCGTACTTACGGTCAATTTCAATTATTTTAACGTTTAGCAAAGATATCGCATTGAACGAAATAAAAAGCTTTAGTTGGGCCAATCATCATCGATTCAAGTTACTGATTATCGAACAAACTGAAATATATTCTTGCAGTGAAATAGTTCATACAAGGATAATAAGTGAATGAGAACTTCATTTCTTATAGACGATTGGTTTTCTCATTGGAGCAATTCTTTGGAAATCAAATGTAATCCATGCAAATCTTTGAATCGATTATTTTTTGCCAATACAGAAAAAAACTTGATAGGAATCAAAATTCTATGATAATACATTTTTGTTTGAGGTTAATTGTCAATGGAAGAGAAAAGTATGTTAGAATTGTGAATGTTTTCGATTGAACATGCCTAGTTGTGTTTAAAGAATCTGATAATATTAACAATAAACTCTAGCCTAGTGTTGAATATTGTCTAATGAAGACACTTGAAAAAGAAATATTAGTTGAAGTCATATTAAAACATATGATGAAGAATTGAATGCACTCTGTTGTTGAACTTTCAATAGAGAAGAAAGCTTGATATGATAAAGGACTACACATGAATAATCATAGTAGCACACAGTTTAGATCGTTATCTGTATTTAGATTATTACAAAAATACGAACCACTGTACACCTCAACATCTACGTTTTGAACAGTTTCCGAAAATCAGATTACTCACAAAGATAAAAATATAAAGATTAATATGCGATGGAAAAGTAACCAAAAGCCATTTTATAGCATATGTGAGTTCATTTAATACATATATCTCCCGCGCGAAGCCACTGTCTTTCAAACTATATTATTCAAATCTAGCTAATTCGGACACAAAATGGCAAACTGTCTGGAAACAAAAGTAATAATGAATAACTCGAAACGATTAAAACAGGAAAATTCTTGACAGATCAACACATAAATGTTGAACAGAACATAAAATGAAAAAATATTTTCCGTTATAATATATTGTTTGAGCATATACATATATTTTCGTTCAATTGTGTCTTTTACTAAGATGAATGAATAATATAAATTTACTCAGAAGAATGACAAGATCATCTACAGTTACTGTTGTCATTCATATACACCTATTAAAGATTATCGATGTAACGGTGCTCTTCGTCTATATTGGTACCCTTAAAAAATTGAAGTGATCAGTTCTTGATGAACAGGTAAAGAAAGAGAAATAATTTCGGTCAATCAACAATCGCTTCTCAATAGGTGTCACTTGCTGCTTTGGGTTAACCTTGCACTACCGATTGGTCTATCATTTGACGAGAACGACGAGCCTTGAATAGCTCAAAAAAATATACTGTTGTTTATTCCATTCTAATATACGACAGATCATAGACAATATCAAATATTTTATAATTTATATTTTTAATTAAATGCCCAAGCGCATTCACAGTGCCAGTGATCGCGATGATACCAATGAGTCAACTAGTACAACAAAACGTACTCGGAAAGCCACTGAATTAGTATGTCAATTGTACATTAATTATTGTATTTGCACTTCTTTTTTTCTGTTTTCTTTCACTTAAAGAACAATCTCTGCCAAGAATTCTACGATTCATTTCGATCGTATAAAGCTGAAGATGGTAGAACTCTTTGTGAAAATTTCATTCATCTACCAGCTAAAAGGTTATTTTGTTTGAAATATTTTTTAAATTAAAAATTTTTTATTTGTAAATATAGGGGAAATTCTGATTATTTTACTTCAGCCAAAGAACCAATTGATTTAACTGAAATTCAGCAAAAAATTCACTCAGATGAATATGATTCTTTCGAAGAATTTCTTGACGATATTGAAGTACTTATAAATAATGCTAAAAACTATTATCGAGTAAATCAAAAATCAATTTCTTATTTTCATATCTTTTTAAATCTTTTTTTAATATTCTTAGAAAAATTCTATGGAATGGAAAGATGCAAATGAATTATCAAAATATTTTTATTCAAAAGCAAAATTTCAGTCGATTGATTCTTATTATTTCGACGAATTTTTTACAGCAATTTACAATACTCAAATTGATGATCGTCCTGTCACGGATATATTCTTATTTTTACCGTCGCGAAAAGTAAATATAAAAGAAAAAAAACCTTCTTAATTGTATTATAAAAATGGATACGATAGTGATCTTAGATTCAATAAATATTAGCCGTCTAAAAAATGGGCAAACCGATCATGCATTTTGAATAGGGAAAATTAGATAAAAGAAATTCATGCTGTGAGAATCTTTATGAAATTCTGATTAGAAAACTTCATTGATATTATGAAAAATACGACTCGATTGACATTAGTCAGCAGATATTTATTCAAAGCAATAGTTAAATTGCTTTAAAAAAAAAGCTTCAACTTTTGAAGATCAAGTTTTTCAATCAATCTTGTTAGGTTCGTACAGCTGAATCTTAAAGCTTTTTATATACATTCGTAAGAGTCATATTCTATTGCAATGACTGTGCTGATTGAAAAAAAATAGTCGAATCAAGTCAAGGCTATGATAGTCGTATCATTCTTTTTAATGAGTGCATAGCTCTAAATAGAACAGTTAAAAAATCAAGATTGCGTTCCTGATTCTAAATGAAAAAAGAATTAGATATTGACATTGTTTTTTTCCATTAATAGATCTATCCTGATTATTATCTAATAGTAACAAAGCCAATAGATTTGAAAATGATCGCAATCAAAATTCAAAATAACCAATATTCATCACTAGATGATATGGAGAATGATTTATTATTATTGATTTCCAATGCAAGAAAATATAATGATCCGAAATCACAAATTTATAAAGTACGAATAAAACAGGCCAAACAAAAATATGCATTGAACTTTAATTTATTTTTATAGGATGCATGTGCATTAAAAAAAATTATAACTAGTGTTAAAAATGAACTTGATGCAGCGCTCAAAACACCAAATGATCGATTACGGTTTGGATTATTTCATTTGTTTACTGTGTTTTTAAGCTAAGTTTTTATATTTTCAAGACTTACTAAACGTGATGTTATTCTATCATCAGAAGTTGCAAATATGGAATATCCAGAAGAACCCGATGATGAAGACATAGTTCAACAAACGATTGACGATGCTGATTCAGATACAAGTTCACTTGGCGATGGAGATGATTCATATAGAACACTATATAATAGTGTTAGACATTATAAACTTGGTGCTCAAAGTTTAATCGATCCATTTATGAAATTGCCGAATAAGAGATTTCATCAAGATTATTATGAAGAAATACAGCGACCAATTGCAGTGTCTATCATTAAAAATAATATCAAAGTAATGATCATCTTCATCAACTGAAATAAAATGAACTCGAGATATTATTATCCTTTTTTTTTAGAAAGGGAAATATACAGATTTAGGTGATCTTGTAGATGATTTGAAACTGATGTTTGATAATGCAATGCAATATAATCAAGAAGGGTCATTAATATATAATGTAAGTTCAATAGCTTCTTTTATCTGTCAAAGAAGTGTATGGAGCAACTAAGATTTCTGAGAAAATTAAGTAATAAACAGATTTTCCTTTGACCACTTTGCGTTAATAGCAGGCGATTTCACTCTATCGCATCATTCTTGTATTGTACTTCAATTCAAATAGAACTTTAAGTAAACTGGTAGCTAACTTGTACAATACACAATAAGTAGGAATACTCTCAGTTAGATGTTTTTCTCGGTATAGTGCCTATACAATTGTAAGATGCCAATATCTGATCGATTTTATTTGAAAAAGCTATTGTGGCGCAACTGCTGCAGGGCTTAAATCTGAAGAAAAAGAGCTGCAGCACTTTTGCTAACCACAAGGCGATTCGTTTTCTTCTATCTGCGGGTGTGGGTGTGGTAAGAATCTCTTAAATTTTGTGTCTGATCGATTTTATAACTCAGTTATTAAATGAACCTGGCTGGAACTGGTTCGTCCAATATGTACATAAAGATAAGACTTAAGTAGACGCTTTGACATGAAAATATCATCTTACAGCAAGCAAAAGAATAGTACGACAAACAAAATTTAAGAAAATCGATCAATTATTATCTTTTTCTACAGTTTTGTTTCACCAGTCATGTTAACCATATTCATTGATTTATTTTCGACAATGAGACACTGTTTCTATTAATTAAAATCAATCTTTTTATATATTTAGAGTGCTAAAAAATTACTGGATGTTACTATAATCAAAGCTCATGAACTTGGCTATGATGAACAAAAGCCACGATTAAAGGAGGCTCGTATAAACATTCCAATGGTAAAATAATTTGTCTTTATTTTGTAATATTGCAATGGTCTCTCTTTTAGATTACTGTCAAAGATGAATATCTCGTATCATCTAGTCCTCAGTCGCCAAATGTAAAAAAACTTACTTACACTTTATTTTATTTTATTTTGTTTTTTTAGTCTCAACGAAATCGACCATCAAAAAAGCCTATGAAATCACCTGAAGAAAACATTCAATCTATCTATACATACATCCGGGAATATCGAGTACATTTATTTTAACCAATTTTTTTAATTATAATTTTATATGTTTTCTATTTGAAGGAAAATGATATTGGACTAATTGCACCATTTCTAGAATTGCCATCAGCTGAAGAATATCCTGATTATTATGAAACAATAGAACATCCTATTGATATGTCAATCATAAAAGATAAAATGGATAAAGGAATTGTAAATAAGAATCAGTTGCTTTTTTATTTTATAAATAAAATTTATTTCATTTTTTTTAAGTATAAACGTGAACAAGACATTATTGAAGATCTTAATCGAATGTTTAATAATGCAAAAGTCTATAATGTTGACGAATCTTATATATTCAAATATGCATCTCGTCTTGAACACGCATTAGCCAATAAATATAAAACAATGATAATTAAAAAAGAAAGACCATCACATCTAAATCGAATACCAACGAAAAAGTAATCTACAATTTTTTTAATTACTTTCCATTATAATAATTTAATCGATCAAACTCTAGATCTTTGAATACGTTACAAGATAAACTTTCTCATTTGATTCAATCCATAAAATCACACACAAATTGTCATGGACGAACATTATCAACAGTATTTTTAACACTACCATCAAAAATTGATTATCCTGATTATTATGAAATAATTCAAAAACCCATTGACATTCGACGTATTGAATCACGACAATATTGTTCAATTAATGAACTATCAAGTGATTTAAAATTAATGTTTGACAATGCTTTGTTATATAATGAACCTGGTTCAATGATCTATCGAGTAAGTTCATAGGGAATGATAAAATCTACGAGATCATACTGCATATACCACTCTAGTAGGTGGTCAGTTAGATTCTTGGTGATTCACATCCGTTCTGTAAATATGCTTTAGATTTAAAACAGTTTCGTTCATGCTACTTTCTATAAAGTAGCTGATAGGTTCATAGGGAAGCCGTGTAGAAAATCATTATAAGAGTTTTTTTCTAGTAGCTGCACTAAAATGTACTGAAGAAAAAAATGAAACGATAGAGATGCATTCAGAATGACAATCACTTCTGTGAATCTTCGTTTCAATTAAGTATACAAATAATTCAACTTACTTTATTTAGGATGCATTAAATCTTCAACGACTGTTCATTGAAAAAAAGCGAGACTTAACACACAATGAGAGTGTACAAAATTTAGTTTGTGAACTATTAATCTGTTTATTTATACAAACATTTAATTATGAAGTAATCTTTATTTTCTATTCATCCAAACACTTCTTTACATTATATTTTGTCTTATACAGGATCAAGATGGTCAATATATTAGTGATTCATTTTCAGAATTACCTGAGCAAGCAGAAAATGAACCGTAAGAAGAAGAAGAAGAATTATAATGTATGAGGAAATGAAATTTTTAATTTTGTAGATTTGATATTGTATATACATTTGATATGATCAGACAAAATCTTGATCAGGTAATTAATCCCCTACAACAGTATAATATAACGACGTTTATTATTTATTATAGCGACGTTATCGTCGATTAGATGCTTTTCAAACTGATCTATTTAAAGTATTTGAACGTGCTAGAAAATTAACTTTACCTCATTCCAAGGTGAGCATTGACACTGGTGTTTGTTTTTTCGAATAAAATATTTTGTTTTCTAATAGGTGTATCAAGATTCAATCAAGTTAGAAAAAATTTACCTTCGTTTACGTGATGAAATATGTCAACATGGTAGTTTACTTCGATCACCAGCGCTTCTATTCAACGAAGATCGTCTACAACATGAACTTGTTCGTGAACGAACAGAAAAGGATTCAATGGCTAATACAAACAATCAGAACAGTATATCACCGACTAAATCATCTGATTCTGATGAAAATAAAGTATCTGTAAGTTGATTGTTGGTGCCATGGAAATGATCAAGTTCAGCCATAGTGAACGCTTTTGTTTTGATTGTATCGTTGCAGTAAAATGATTATTGATTCCAATGAGAACATGAATACAAATGAGTCGAGTATAGAACCATTGAGATCCGATGCAACCATATTTTAATCTTCTCGAGGAATCACACTTATTAGAATTGAATCATGATTCCCAAATCAAAAGAGAATATGTGTTTTTATCTGTTAATTAGTAGATTTAAGATCTCACGACCAGTGCTGGATTCGATGATAGAAAATCTGGTAATACGATGGAGAATAGAAAGATGAGTTGCTTCTAATAAGTAAGCCCGAAAACTTTGAATATTATTTTTCCTCATCATACACGCATCGGCTTCACTGCCCAAATTCTTAGTGGTACCCATTAGATCCAGTACACTTAAACATTGATAGTAATTGTGTTCATGATATAATCAAGAATGACGAACTTTATTTTAACACAGATCTGTAAGTGTAACATTGAGGAAGCATAGAACAAACACCAACGAAGATTAAAAAAATAAAAGTATTGCTATACCCTCTCCTTCTGCATTATATGTCAAGTTCGATTGGACACAGTTCTCTTTCGAAGAATTCGTGAAGGAAATTATTTTTCAATGTTTAATTTAAACTTCAATGATTCGAACTACACTGTTTTCTATTGTTCTTTTTTGTTTATCTAGGCGATGAAATCCATATCACGAACAGAAAATAGTTCCTTATCGAAAGGTCAAACTTATTATCTAGGTGATTTTGTTTATGTTGAAGCTAATGATGAAACAAAAGAGCCATATATTGTTTGTATTGAATCTTTCGAACATAAAGATAACGAAGATTATCTGAGTGGTTTACAATTTTGTCGACCTAATGAAACATATCATACACCAGTACATAAATTTCTTCGTCAAGAAGTTTTCTTAACCCAATCAATTGAAGATTTACCGATGAATAAAATTCAAGGTTTATGTTTTGTTTCACATTTCAAAGATTATTTTAAATATCAACCAATTCTCGACGATGAAACAGCATTTCAAGATCAAGATGTTTATGTCTGTGAATCACGTTATAATATGAAAACAAAAACATTTAGAAAAATAAAATGGTGGAATTTACCAGAAAATACTCGAGTTAAATTAATTCAACGGGATACTCCACTAGAAAATATACGCATAGCATCAACATTGGGTAATAATAATAGTTTAATACATCGTTCATCAACTACAGATAATGAATCAATAAATACGGATATTATTGACAAACCTAAAGAAACAATTTTATACGATGCAGTTATAAATGAAAAATTAAATGAAAATGCATCAATTAAAAAAACATTTTATGAGCAAATTGTTATTTCAACACATAGTTTTTATAAAGTTGGCGATTTTGTATACGTTAATAATATTGAAAATAATAACAATAATGAATCGAATAAACGATTTATTTTTCGGATCGATAAAATTTGGAAAGAAAATGAGTAAGTTGAAGATCATTTTTTCACAGTGATTTATCTATCGTATTAACAAGACTTGCCCTCGTATAGTTAGGAAATATACAGATAAGCAGAAAGACAAATAGTTTACAGTTAAAATAGTCGTATTGATAATAATTGTTTTTCTCTCTCAAGTTCATATTGTCTAAGTGGTACAGTGTTCATTCAACCATCTGATATTACAAACCGAGACCAATTAATCGTCACAGCAAAATGTCGTTATGAACGTGAAGTTATAAAACGTGATGGCCCAAGTACACAAATTTCACTTGATAATATTCAAGGCAAATGTTCAGTCCTTTCATTGAAACATTTCTGTACACGTAAGTTTGACATCTATATTAATTCTTAGAGTTTTGCACAATGTTATATTTAGATCGTTTAACTGAAATTCCTGAATCTGATGTTTATGTTTGTGAGTCGAAATATGTTACGGATGATCATAGTCTTCGAGGTTTATCAAAACCATTGAAAGTAAGCTCACCATCATAATATTATTTCAATATTTTATTTATTTGTTTCTAGAGAATATCCCTATCATTAAAAGCAACTGCTGATGAAATCTGGACTTTTCGTAAAGAACTTATACTCAAACAAGTAATGAATTACAATAAATTTTTCAGTTTCTTTCTGTGGGGAGTCTGTGAGAACACAATCCTCTGGTTTGTTTTCTCGAAAAACAAAATTAAATAGAAAGAATACGATTACGAAGAGAAACACCGTACAATATTTGGTTTTATTCTATTTCCTAGGAGACCCCTGGTGCCTTGTTCAAAGCAGTTGATGAAAGTTCAACCATGGAACTTGACGATCATTTTGATAACCATCTCGATGGAGTTGAACGTCATTCAAATCATGGAAATTTTGATACGATGCATAATGGCATTAATCTCAATCCATCATTATCTAATCGATATAATAGTAATATCATTAATCGAGTACGTAACTGCCAAAGATGAACAAGAAAGGTCTTTCAATTGATTTATCGTTTGTGAATGAAAACTAAATAGGATATGAATCATTTTCAAAGATTTTCACCTCTAAACTTATTTCTGCATTGATATTCTATATTTTTGTAGTATTTTTAGTTGACTGTTGTGGTAACCCCCAACAACACACAAAAAATTTTATTTTCGAATTTCAACTTGAAGCTCTTTTGTTGTACTTCTAGTCTATAGTAAAAACATTCAATCTCGATGTGTTTGTCAGTTATACAAGAAAAGAGCTGAAGCATGGACGATACATTATTCTCACTAAGATGTATGTCTATGCGATGACTTAAGTCAAAGTTCAAAAAAGACCACGGTATATATTAGGAAAATACTGTAGTAGTGCAGTCATTAGGTAAAAGTCGAAATTGCTTTGATGTTATTCGTAACGCATAACAATGTATACGTTTGAAGCAAATATTTTCGAATTAAAAACGATGAATCAGCTGTTTGATTGATTTTTAATTCAGTTTTCGTTCATGATTTTTATTTGTCAATAGAAAAGTAATCGTCGTGGTCTACCAACACGTCCACCCTGTGGTTATCTTATATTTGCAAGTGAATCACGAAAACGTTTAATACGTGATAATCCAGGTATTCCATTCGGTGAAATGAGTCGAATCATTGGTGATCAAGTAAATATAGAAAAACAATGGGTACATTATTCAATTTTTGAATTGTAATTTAATTTAGTGGAGACGAATACCACCACATGAACGTGAAAAATATGAAGAAAAATCACGTGAACGAGCAAGAGAACAAGATACACAAGTACCAAATAATACCATGGCGTATGATTCTCCTGTTAATTCACCACGAATAGTTAATGGCGGTGTAGCAATCAATGGATATTATCCATCTTTTCCAAGTATGCTTTTGCTTTTTGAATATTAAAAAAATGACAAATCTATAAATCATTATAGATGTATATCCAATGAACGGTGCTCTTCCAGTTGCTCTGAAACCACCTGCACAACCACTACCACCACCACCAGCAGCAGCAATTATAAATCGACCACCTCGGATACAAAGAGTTGCTCATTCAGAAATGTATTCACGGTATATAGAACATCTTAAAACTGATTATCCATTTATATCAGACTGGCCTAAACAATTGAAAACATCTATTGGTAATAATGGAAATATTCCATCGAGACCATTACCATCACATTGGCTTATAAATAATAGCCCCGGTTTTTATAATAATATGTATGAAGCTCTATGGTCAATGCGTGATAATATGTGGTCGGATGTTGTTCGTGTACGAAATGTACTTTCGGATGAATGGTAGATTTCTTATTTTCTCTTCTTATTCTTCTTGTTTTTCGTTATATGAACACGCTCAGTGTTGGAGTTGTGTTAAGAAATAATTTTTTTCTTACAGTAAAAGACATGTGCATGATGGATTGTTGTAGAATGTAGATTTTTTTCCCTTTATGCTTATTTCGGCTTATTGTCTGTATGTAATGTTAATTTTTTTTTGTTTCACTTCTTCTGAATGTTTATGTAATGACAAAGAAAAACACACAACAACAAACTATTTGTTCTCTTACCGTAATATAACTACGGGATATATTGTATGTTGTGTGAATGCTTTTTTTAAATGTACAGATAAGCTTAAGCTATATTAAAAAGAATAACAGACTAATTAAAGTTGAAAATAACATTTATAGAATTTTCATTTGATTGCTTTGTATGTTGAAGGAATAAAGCAATAGATCGCGCTGAAGTTTTATTTGGTTTCAAGTCCAATTTATCTGTTGTGGATGTACAGAAAAAGACTGTAAAAATTTGTTTCATTGTTGAAACACTGAATAATTTTTAGTAGATTTTTATAGAGATCAACACTAATTAGACTAATTCAGTCATTTTTCAGAGATTCATTCAAGAAGATATACAATGAATAAATTTCGTTTAACTTCTTTTACATGATGTAACAGGCTACAGCTTGATTGCGGGACATTTTTTTCCTTCAATCGAGAGACAATGTCCGCAAAGCAGAATCGAGGGAGGAGAGCAAAAAATGTCCCATTGTGGAATCAAGACAAGATTTATTAGGTGAAAAAAATACAGAAAAATCATTTATGAAGAATAGTTGAAAATCTAACTGTTTTTAGGTTGATAATCAAGATTCATTCCAAAATGATAATTTTTAAGAACTATACGATATTTATTAGATTGTGTGGAAATTGGAGAAAACTATGATCTTTCACATTGGACATTTTTATTTGATTCGTGTAGGTGTAAGTTCGTCACTTTGACTGTTTTTTCGTTTGATTCCATAATGAGGACATTTTTGCT